TGAGAGCTTTGATTCTAAGTATGTCATATGGTTGTTTCCTCAAGTTGGTTGGCAAATGATTTTAAAATACTATTATCCAAAAATTGTCTGTCATATGGCATAAGATCATGATGTAAAAAAGTAAACAAAATTACATACCAAAATAAACAACAAAATCCTAGTGGTTTAAAGCAGTTCCTGTTTGTTATGCTCTGGCAGATTACAGATAAAGTCCTTTCTCATTATTTAGAGCAGTATTTCCCAAATATTTCCCTTTGTTACCCAAAACTGCTTATCAGAAAGTCCTTTTTACTCAATGCAGGAATAACTTTTTAAATTAGCTTAAATGTCCCTGTTGTGATGGGTTTCTGGGCATTACCCAACCTCTTTTACTGAAGTTTGAGTAATTTACCCAGGTTTAAAAAGCCCTGATTTAGAGGGAAGCTTTATTGTTTTTCACCTGTATTTTCTGGTAGGTAAAAGTTTGGTCTCACGGGCAAATCCAGTAATATGTATTCTGGCTTTGTAGTAGTAAGGTTTTTTGAGAAACAGTTGCGTTGTTTCCCAGTAGCAGCTCTTTTTCCTGGAAGAAATCAAATTGGTACTAAGACCGTGAAAGAAGAAGACAGCTCCTACACAATGATGTCAAAGAATAAAATCTCTCTTTAAAACAGGGGTACACAAATTTTTAAGGGGAAGGAGTACATTCCATCTAAGAATGATGTGGCAATGCTGGTGTTGAAGCTAAAAAACACACAGACAAAATAATAAGTTTGTGCGTGAATAAATATAAAATAACATTTTTATTTAATTACTTTAAATATTTTTTTTTTTAAAAAATGTATTTAAAAATAAATAAATAATGATAGCAGATGGCTTTACAGACTGTTAGATCCACTCATTTCAAAACTCATTTTGCACTTTAATGCTCTGTCTACACAAGCCTGCACAGGCAAAGCAAGGGGGGATTTTTAACAACACTTCTGCTTTGCCTATATAAACCCTGCGGGAGCCCTGTTTTGATAAAAGTCACGAATAAGTTGACAGGACTTCTGCAGGTATACTCAAAGTGGGTCTGCTGTTAAAACTCAGGACTGGCCCTTTCTCTGTGTTTTGCTTGTGCAACCCAGTTGCCTGGTTACCCAGGCAAAGTGAGAACAAAGCAGGGCCATAAAATGCCTAGTAAGTTTTGATATTATTCACACTGCAGAGTTGCCTAGGCAAAGCAAGAGCAAGTTTTGACACCCCTTTTATCTGTGCAAGTATCCTCAGCTGCTTATGTTCTCTTCCTGGGAGTTCTAACCTACAATTTAAGAATCAATTATGTTTGGTATTAATTGAGAACAAAGTGTATGATTAATTAATAGGTTATAAAATGACAGAATTTTTGCTAATTTAGCTAAATAACACACTTACATATTTTATTAAATGCATGTGTATATACACACATCAGGCATTGCCAAATTGAACAAGAGAGAGAGAGGGATAGATAGATCTAGATGGATAGATTAGATAGATAGATAGATAGATAGATAGATAGATAGATAGTGAACAAAGTGTAAAAGAGCGTTTCCTGTGAGAACTCATTTTTAGATTTGTGGTTTCTGACATGAAAAACCATGGTGAAGATGGCACATGGAGAGTGGAAATCCATTCTTTGACTGTCCTAGGAAAGCTGAGGATGGCTTCTTCCTTAGGCTATTGGGTTCCTTATGTACTTCAGTACTTCAGTAATATGATATCCCCCAGAGAAGGGCATCATTCTCACCCTTTTGATTTTTCACACAATGTTAAAAGACTTGGCTTTTTTTTCAAGGCTTGGGTTAGCAATAGCAATATCACTTTGACTGATACACTGCTTCATAGTGCTTTGCAGCACTCTCTAAGTGGTTTTACAGAGTTAGCATATTGTCTCCAACAATCTGGATCCTCATTTTACCAACCTCAGAAGGATGGAAAACTGAGTCAACCTTGAACCAGTGAGGACTGAACTGTGGCAGTGACCTGAATTAGCCTGCAATAGATTAGGATCATGGTTGAATCCCGTTTGTTTGCTTGTTTATTTGTTTTTGGTCCTGTCTTCTGATGAGGTATACTGTCTTTCTTTGATATATGTTCTTTTCTCTTGTTTTTTAATGGTAAGCCACTTAGAATCAATATGAAATTGTATACTCTCAAAATTGAAATAATAGTCTAAATAACTGCCATCTTTCAAGTTTACCCTATCCAATAAATTACTGTAGTTTAAGGTATTTTCACTCTGTCAAGAAGAAATGGCTCTTATGAGGTGGTGAGTGAGAAAGAGGGATGATAGTTAGGATGGGAGTTTGGATGCTTTTTACTATTTTGAAAGTCATAAGTCACATCGTGGTGAGAGAAGAAAAAAGTCAAATGAGAGCATAAAGTTGGGGCTTGTGGCCTCAGTGGATTGAATCAGCAAAGAAGAAAATGAATTAGAGGTTGAAAACTTCTGCAGTCTCTGATTGCTTAGGAGCAAACACAATAAACACAGTGAGTAAACAAACAGGTAGGCAGTGATGAGTGAGAGTAGACATTCATAAGCAACAGGAAGTTCATCTCAGCATTCAAAAAACCAAGAAACAGTGGAGATTAATTTCTTATTTAAAATTAAGCAAACTGACAGATCAAAGTAAAAAGCCTCCCCAGGCAAGTAAAAGAATGCCCTCCCACTGGGAATTGTACTCCGTCCTTCTCCTATCTTCGCTGATCTTTTCAGTTTGAATTATTTAATAGTGATTGTAATTGTTTATTTCAGATTGTAGCTGTTCATGTTTTATTATTAGTTGCCTCAAGTATCCTCTGGGCAGAAAGGAAAATGTAACTTGTATGCATAATAACAGCTGTCACCACAATTCAATTATGTATTCTTCTTTTTAAGGAGTCCCATACAGTGCCTCTGCTCCTATCCATAGTTATTATTAAATTTCTCTGAAGACTCAGGACGGCTTACAATGCGTTAAGCAATAGCCTCCATACTTTTGTATATTTATACAAAGTCAGCTTATTGCCCCACAAACTGGGTTATAATCAGAATGTTTTACTTTACCTTAGTAATATAATATTTGATTTATAATTTGACTATCTCATGTGATTGTAAAACAAGAGTGCTCATCGTATAAGAATGCTGCTTAAGAAAAGCATCAACCAAGTTGGCCAAGTTGCATATCTGTAGTATTCTGCCACAGCTATATTATTTTCAGAAACAGCTATGTTTCTCGCTACCCTCTACATTTATATATTTCCAAAATAATCAGTTGCTAATTTTAATGCATTATTCCCATTCCATTGTCAGTGATACCTATTGTATTGTATTTGTTATTCTTTTGAGTTCATAGGCCAGTATCCAAAGATGCTCCAAAGTGGAGGATGTCGAAATTAGCTTTTGATTTGTGTTTCCCTAATACCTGTTTCTCCTCAATTCGTAAAACTTTTGAAAAACTTCTTTTTAAACTGTTGAGAGTCAAGATGCATCTGCTATTATGTAGCAGAAAAACACTATAGGATAACACAAGCCGATAAGCATGCCTACAATCTATATATTACTAAAACTCTTGTGTCCATTTGATTGAAACTTTCAATTGGGAGAAACAATGCATGTAGAGAACAGCTTTTTGAATCACAGTAGCTCAAATGGGCTAACTTATATAATGTGTCCAATATCCTGGATGATTCCTATAGCATTGAAATTTGGAAAAATTGTGATTGTTTTAGTGTTGCTGCATAACCATGATGCTACATTGCTACAGTCAGTGGTGGTCATGTGATTATAATTTTCAGCGCTCCCTGCCAGCTTCCTACAACGAAAATCAGTGAGGAAGTCAGCAGGAAGCCACTCCTAGTCTCACTGCTTTTTTGCCCACCTGTGATCATTTTGCTTCTCTGTTTAGATAAAGAAATGTCTCTGAAATGATGACCCAATAGGTCACAGGTTATCTAGTAATCGTTCTAAGCTTGACATGTGTATTCATAGTGAGAGCTAAACGTAGCTCTAAAGTATGGTGTGCAGTTTGATTTTCTGCCAGAATTCAAAATATTGGTAGTATGAATAAAGGTAAAGGTTCCCCTTGCACATATGTGCTAGTCGTTCCTGATTCTAGGGGGCAGTGCTCATCTCCATTTCAAAGCCGAAGAGCTAGCACTGTCTGAAGACGTCTCCGTGGTCATGTGGCCGGCATGACTCAACACCAAAGGCGCACGGAACACTGTTACCTACCCATCAAAGTGGTCCCTATTTTTCTACTTGCATTTTTTATGTGCTTTCAAACTGCTAGGTTGGCAGAAGCTGGGACAAGTAATGGGAGCTCACTCCGTTACGCAGCACTAGGGATTCGAACCGCTGAACTGCCAACCTTTCAATCGACAAGCTCAGCCATTGAGTCTTAGCCATTGAGCCGCTGCGTCCCATGACGTGGTGTCATGAATAGAACAACCATATTCACATGTCACTTAACATTGCTTTCCAAACTGAACTAGTTGCATAAACTTTATAGCCATTCTGGAATTATTGTTTTTTCTAAATTGTGGGTATTGATTAGATTTACAATATCAGAATTGAATACATTTGGGCAATCACTAGATGAAGCGAAGTTATACTTATTTGTAGTTAGCACCTGGTTTTTTGCAGGGTAAAAATAATGCAAATAGTGCGTGTGCATGTGTCTCTGTGTCTGTGTACATATACTGTATTGTGCAGAGTTACATAATATATATAACTATAGATGAACAAGTTATATAATTGAAAATCAGTAAATCATATCAAATGATTGCAGATTTTTGAGATTGTAGCTTTGCTGAATAGTCTTAATTGTATAAGAACCCTTATTTATTTTAACTGAAAATATTTATAGTACACTCCTTTCAGAAGTGCACAACTAAGTGGAGAAAATCAAATAGCAGTGTCATAACAGAATAAAAAATACATATCAATATGGAATGCCCACATTCCATATTAGAGCCAATGTTGCAATGGGGCTGATTCTAATTTGTTTCATCCCATCCAGAATCTGACAGCTTCTGGATAGCAGTTCAGGCTTTCTACAGCATGTCTGGCTCAGTATGGAATGATGGCATATGGATCTCATCAGCATACTAAAGTCACTTCACTTCAAGACAACAGCGACTTCAGATAGATGTTAAATAATATAGGAGAGACCCCTGAGTCTTGTGGCATCCCATACAGAAGCAACCAAGGATTCAAGTTCTGTTCCTCCATAATTATTGACTGCAGCTGCTGATTCAGGTAAGAATGGAACTGTTGCAAAATGAGTCCAAGTTGTCATAATCAGTAAGATATCATAATCAGTGGTACGCAATGATGCAAAGAAGTTGAAAAGGTCCAAGAAAATGTACTCTAATTAAATTAAACTACATCATCTACCTGAGCACCATATTAAAAACAATTGTATAGCTAGTGAGCCGACATACAGGAATTTATATAGCTACCTCAAAATGAACCTTTTAAAGAAATTTCATCAAACTAATGGCCTTTCTTGCCATTAGTTTAAGAAACAAGATAAAATGGTCATGAGATTGCTATACTTTATGGAGAAGAAATAGTTGAGGCTTTTATATGTAGAAGGACAATAAATGGGACGGGTATGGAAAAAGTAGATAATTTCTTTCCATTTTAGGATATGGGATTAAATTAGAAAATTTAGAGACAAAACATTTCTACACAGACTACACAGTTAAGATGTGCAGTTCTCCTTCACAAGGTTTATGGCTGTCAACTTTGGAAACTTTTATATTTTTAAAATGATAGTAAGATTAAAAGTGAACACCAGTTGCTGGGAGAATATAAGTGGTGCTTTTGCATCTGATTGGTCACTACAGGCACAAAATACTGGATTAAATAGTCCATTGGTCTAATCCAGCGAACATTTCTTATGTTATTAAATACATTGTTTTGTTACTGCTATTATTACCATTATTATGATTAATGTTTGGTGTTCCTCCTTTGGATTAAAACATTAACTTTTTTCTGTTTTCTTTTAAATAGTAATACGCTAGAATTTAAAAGAACTTCTATGGGCAATACATTCTGAAGACACCTTTCTCTCAAAAATTGGCCCTTCTGAAATCAGTCTTTGTAGAATATTGCCATTTATCATCCAGAAAGGAATACACGGTAAAATATTGCAAGTTTAAATTTAATTTAAATCATAATTATGTGTATCTATAAATAAGACTAGAGACTGGGTACAGGAATCTAGGTTAGATTTGCCAAGCATCACAAATGGGATTTTTGATCCTTTTTAAAATAACAAACTTTGATAAGTTGTAAGAAATTGATTTCTTCTTGGTTTTTATGGTGGCACATGCTGTGGCATGATTTTGTGAGGAAAGGAGCTATATTGAAGATACCGAAGCCAAAAGGCTCTTCAGTGTTTTGAATTTAATTACATGACTTGTTGGAATCCGTCAGAAAATAGAAGAAGGAATAATTGCAAATTCTATTTCCTTTTATTTCCATTTACCTACAGATCAGAATTACAAATGTCTACCACAAGACTAAAGTGTGATAGGTTATGTTCCTTACCATAAGCACCCATAAAATGAGCTCCATTGCAGACAGGTAAGTTATTTTTTAATTTTTTAATTTTAAGATTTTACTCTTAAAGTTACCTATATTCTAAATGCGAATTTCAGAGTGCAGGTGAAAAATTTATCTTGTATTTGTTACAAATTAGAATTAAGCTTTCACATTATCCCAAGACATGATTGAGACATGGATGCGGACAAAAAAAAAAAAAAAAGCTTGGTAGGAATGTGGTGGATGTAATTCTTTTTGAATTGTTAAAATAGCTGAATCATTTGAGGTGAAATGGGGGGACAATAAATTTAATTAATAAATACAGTATGTAACTGGTTCTGAACTATATCTGCTTCTGGCTATGTCTTCATGATTAGCACTATTCTGTGCAAGGTTATTGTTTGCTAAAACCTGGTTTGTTTTGTTTTTTTCAGAGATGATGGCAGCATTTTCGATGGTCTCGTGGAAGAAGATGACAAGGATAAAGCAAAGAGGTTTGTTTTGTGAAAGAACTAGAATGAAACCTCTTCATTTGTGGTCAGGTGGTGTAATTATGCATTGAAATTGCATTCTGTACCAAACAAAGATAGTGTTTTGAAGCAGTTTCCAGCAAGGTGAGGAAATGTATTGTCAAAGATTGCATGGAGACGCGGAAAGTAAATGAGGGATTGACTGGAAATACTACCTAGTTTCTTCCCCTCCCGTTGTTGTCAATGTGGAAATTAAAAATTAAAGTGGACATATCACTTTATTAGTGTGTCTAAAGCAAATGTTTCAGCTCCATTTAAAAAAATTACACTGCTAAAGTTTTCACATAATCATTTCATTTTTCAAAACCCGTTATACTCTTATCTTTCAGTCTGAAAAGCTCTTGGAGCAGCTTGCATAAGATCACCAGACCCTACTTACAAATTTTAAAAATACAACATACATGGAAAGAAGGATGAGAGGGGAAAAAAAAAAGTAGCTAGAGCACCAATTTGTAGGCTGTGGGGAAGTAGACTGTTCAGAGACATCATCACCTCATCTCTTACCCTCAACAACAACTGGAACTTGTCCAGTTGGCTTCTATTTAGAAGGAGAATTCTCTGTTCAGCAAAGATTCCCACTGAAAGTTCTCGCTACTGATAGTAGTCCTCATCATGCCTTTGACAAAGGAGAGGAATCCCCAACCAAGTTTGTCATAGCAACAATGGAGGAAGATGACAATCCCTTGCAGTTTATGTCTTTTTAATTCCAAAATGCCATGAATGGTCCTATATTTTTTCCCTTAGATGATTTCTATATATTTTAAAATAATTTATTGATACAAGATTTAAAAATTAAGAGAGAAAATGGGTTTGCTGAATCTAGACTTAGTCATACTTCTATTTATCAATTTGCATGCATATTTCCATGAAATTAGTAGGAAGATCCTTTTGGTGATGAGGGTGATGGGATTGGAATGGTTTGCGATAACTTCTGAAATAGGGATGTAGAGTTTTCTGGTGGAAATTTATACTATCCTCTTTCTTACCAAGTAAGAAAGGAACTGTTGTCAGTTGGTGGCTATGTACTTGGAAAATGAGCAGATAGTTAAAGAAACTAAGGAGGCTTCAGACTCATGACTGCCTAAAAAACTCAGTGTCAGGTCCTGTTAGTGATAGGTTTGCCTATTTATTTTACCCACAAAACTTTCTGTGGGATTTATTGTGGGACATCCATCTGGCCAACATGACTCCTCTCCACTATATTCAGCATTCCTCTAGCCTTTACAAGACATTGGTTTCTTCTTTTAGTTGTGATAGAGTTAAATTTTATGACTTCAGTGTGGCTATAATATGTCTTCATCAGGATCCAGTGCAATTACCCATCAAGAATTTGTATAATGCCATTCTCTCTTATGGTAGTTATATATATATTTTTTAAATAGAGTATCAAGAAACAAGTCTGAAAAGAAACGCAGAGATCAATTTAATGTACTCATCAAAGAGCTGGGATCCATGCTTCCAGGCAATGCTCGAAAGATGGATAAATCCACTGTATTGCAGAAAAGTATTGATTTTTTAAGGAAGCACAAAGGTAATTTTTTAGATGTGACATGAAAGTTGTGAATGTTCTGAAATTTACAAATATATTAACATTCTATTGTCCTTTGTGCAGCTCCAAGGGAAAATCCTCTGAAATAATGGTACAAAATATATAAATACATGCTTAGTTCCTCCCCATCCCAGTACATAATATTTAGAGACCTTGGTAGATGAGTTATTGAGAAGCCACTGGAACTAATACTTTAAATGGATATACCATAAGCAGCAACCACCACAGCAAAATATAACATTTCAAAAATGAAAAATAATAGGATTAAGCAAATCCTTTGAGAGACATGCTTCACAAGTTGTAACAATACATAAAAAGGACTCCTCTTTAAAATTTTAAAGCAGCCACATTATTTTTCAAGCTTGCATAGCTGCTTTGTAAATAGTTTCTGGCTGTCTGCACATAGATGTGTGTGTATAGCCTCCTTACTTCATTTTTTTTTTTTAGTTGAAACTGCATATACAGCCTTTTAATGACTGAAAGAGATGTGCTTTATGAGGTTTCCACACCTTACAAACCACTTCTTTTCAAGGGATTATATAAGTCTAGAAAAGAACACAAAATTTCTGTGAAAGTAGTCATGTTTTTGAAGGTAACTGGTAGCAAACAAGAAATGTTTGGTAATAAATTCAAGTTTTCTTTACCTTGAGCCCTGGTGGCGCAGTGGTTAGAATGCAGTATTGCAGGCTAACTCTGCCTAGTTCAGTCCTGACCAGATCAAGGTTGTCTCAGCCTTCCCTGTTTCCAAAGTTGGTAAAATGAACACCCAGATATGGCAATATGTTGGCTCCAGTGGTGGGTTGCCCCCGGGTTTGCACCGGTTCTATAGAACCGGTAGTAAAACTGGTGGGAGGCTCCGCTCACTGACCCCAACGTCACCAAAACGCTTCTGCGCATGCGCAGAAGAGCACGTGCGCACCCCCGCTGCGAACCAGTAGTAAAGATAAGTAGACCCACCCCTGGTTGGCTCTGTAAATCACTCTGAAAAGGCTGTAAAGCACTATGACACAATATATAAATCTTAAGTAGCTATTGCTATTGCTATTTACAGGGACTTATATCTAAAAGTAACACATCTTTATGTTTAGTGAAATTACTGAATCTATTATAGTTAATACAAACTTGACCGCAAAAAACCCCTTATATGCACATATGGCTACAGGTGAATTGGCCCCATGTTTCTCATGAGGAATTCTTTAGATGTATAATTCTCTTGTGAAAGCTTAGATGGTAAATGTTGTTGTTCCACTTCATTCCAGACAAAAGCCCTCTCTGTGGATTTTTACTTGAAGGGAGTCAAAAGACAGCTCTGCTATCCATTTCCTCAGTAGCTTAGCCCAGCAAGAAGTGTATGCTATAATTGAAGTTCTTCCAGAATGGGTGGACTGATTTTGTGAAAAAGTTAAAAAAAATGTTCACTGAAGTTATAATGATAGGTGTGAAAGACAGATATAGGAAAGAATTAAGCAAAAGGACTGTTTATTTTTAGCCCAGAATAAACATACACAAAGAACCAGTACAGAAAATTGAAGGCCAAGAATGGTTTATAATAAACAAAAAATAGATGCTGATTTACTTCTACTCCTGCTAGTTCTTAAATTGCTAAATATTTCCTGTATCTCCAGTTTCCAGCTCCCTGAGAATTAGAGTCTTGCTTACTTGGCTGGGAAAAAGCTGCTCTACTCCTCCCCTCAAGAAAGAAGTTATACCAAAGGCCAAATGGAGTTTTCCTGTCCTCTTTTTAAAGCCCATCTTTTCTTGGTTTTGACCGATTCTTTTGCTCACAATTTGGATTGATTGGTTTAGGTTTGATTGACATATCAGGTGTAAGCTTTCCCTTGTCTCTTTCATGCTTGAGCTTCTTAGCATGTAATTTGTCCCCATTCACTATAGTACTTCTATCTCACGCAAATTGTTTAAATTAGATTTTAAGTTCATCTTTACATTTGTGAGCTTTATTGGTTTATAGCATAATACCGATAAAAAATAAGAGTTGTTGGCTGCAGCCAGAATTTAAAGTCACGGGTTGGGTATTTATTTTTTTTGGGGTGGCTGGAAATAATGCATTCTTTATCTAAAGAGCAATTTAAGGTCATATAAGATATTGCGTTAGCTGGATGGAATTTAAGACTTAAAAAAGGATTAACAACTGACTTCATTCGCATGGAGAATGGACGTTTGCCCTTGGAAAATAATAGTCTTATAGGAGTCTTGTAGGATCTTGGCCAGAGACTTTGAAGCAAAATGCAAACTGAGCAATCTTGCAATAATGAGAAAGGAACCTTTTGCTTTTCATCAGTTTGACTGACTCAGTACTTACATTTTTTATTCTTTATACATAGTTTATTGCCTTCTCCCCATCTAGAATGACTTAGCATACAAAGGTGGATAAGTAGAGTAGATTGTCTTTATGGAAAGAAAAATTATCTTCTTTTGTAGAAATCACTGCCCAGTCAGATGCCAGTGAGATTCGACAGGACTGGAAACCCACATTCCTTAGTAATGAAGAATTCACTCAGTTAATGTTAGAGGTAATTTGTTTTCCATCTTAAACTATGTGATTAGACTCTTATTGTAGTTACTTCTTTATATTATATTGGTATAGTTGAATATAACTTTTTAGCTTTACATTATCCTTAAAGTGCATTTTTATTAATAGCATGTTAAAATATGTTCCGAAGAAATGTCATTTAAGTAGAATGCTATTCAAGGAAGGGAGGGGAGGGCTTGTTTATTATTTGGAATATAATATTTGTATATTTGTAATATTAAATTGGCTCTTGGACTAATGTTGGACTCCTGTTTTAATGTGTCCTATCACTTTTCAAAGCCCAGAAAATTGAATCTAGTTTATAGAAAATGCTGTCTGTTTTTCCATGCCTGGCTTTTGAAAACTTTGGAAGACTTTTACTTTGCTGTTTCACCATTGTCTGAGAAAGCAAGGAAAATTAGCCTTTTTTGTTGTTTTTTCTTTTGTTTTTTGCAGTAGTGTCTGCACTCTGGGATTCAATTAGGACTTGGTTCCAAAAGACAGCAAAGGCTATTGTTTTTTCTGGGAATTCATGACATTGTAATTTATTACTTCAGTTTCCAATTGCCAGTTTCTACTGTTTTTGTTCCTTCTGGTGTTTTGAAATAATATTTTTGCTGATATTTTGTTTAAGTTATTTGAATTTCAGCCTTCTTAATTTTTATCTAAAATAAACTTTACTACTGTTAAGAGTTTTTTAGATTGAAAAATAAGATAAAAATAATTTCAGCAATAATACACTGAACATTTTCCCAGCCTAACCCAGGATCTTCTATTTAGATAATGTTTAGTATTGCCAACTATATATTATTCACTGTGGAAAGCAGGTTTACTTTTACGTTCAATTAAGTTATTTCCTTTTTCTGAATGTTAACTAAATTAACAGTTAGAGACCAGTTTATCTCTAACTGTTTCTTTTGTTTAATTTCAGGCTCTTGATGGTTTTTTTCTAGCAATCATGACAGATGGAAGTATAATATATGTATCAGAAAGTGTAACCCCCTTACTTGAACATTTGCCAGTAAGTACACACTTTCAGAGAGATACCAAACTTCTAAAGTCATTTGATGGGCAATTTACCATCTGCCATTTAAGAATCTGGAATTTAAACAGCATTCTCATCTTTTTAAAGATTCTGTTGTTTTTCTCAGTGGAACTTCTACCGTGTTACTCTCAGCTTTCCACAACCCTGGTGCCCTCTAGATGTGTTGGATTTCCTCTCAGGCCATGCTTCCTGTGAATTATGTGAGTTGAAATTCATTGCAGCAGGAGGGCATCAGCTTAGGAAAGTCTACTCTGTTTTGTACCATACTTTCTCTAAGGCCAGTGCTGTGACAGGAAGGTTTCTGGAGAACTCAGAAAGTGATATATATCCCAACTCTGTCAGGCCTCCATTCACCAGTGTTTATCCAGCATTGCAGTATATTAAGCAACTGTGGCAGTTGTAGTATTAGCATTTTGAGGTCTCCATAATATATCTAGATATATAACCTCTACAGACTTGGTCTCCCTTAACTGACTAGAGAGCACTTGTTAAAGATGGCCAGACATGGCCATTCTCTGTAGTAGCTCCCCTTTGTTTGAAGGCCCCCAACCTCATGACCTTCCTAAAAGCACAGATTTTCCAGAAGGTCTTAGGGATGAATTATAACTGGTGATGCCACATTAAACAGTTTCAGTTTGTCACTTTAAATATTCATTTGGCCAATTTGATTATGTATTTTATTATTTTAAGTAATATATAGTCTTGATTTTTTTTTACTATACATTTGTTAAGTTACCTAGAGTCCATTACATCTCAGCTGGAAAACAAGACATGTAAATAAATAGGAAAAGGACAACAAAAGTTTTAAGCCTATAATTACTGCATATATGCAAACATGCTCCAAGTTAAGATGCAAGAATGCTTGTGTAAATCCAGCAAGTCCTTCATGTTCCTGAATTGGCCTCTGCGTAGAGAAAGTAATATACATTTTTGCAATTACTAACAGAATATTATTAAATTATTGAAGAAGCAGGTGGAGTATGATGGCATATAATAATCCACAGTACAGGTGGATTACATGTCTAGAAGGCCCTTTCGAGGGGGAGGGGGTCGTTCCATCCGCCGCCGTCGTTAGTAGTACAATTGATTCCCCTATTGGCAGAAGATTGGGCCTCTTCGCCAAAATTTGGGAACGTACTACTTCGGATTGTTGGGTCCGAGCCACCATTCAATCTGGTTTGGCTATAGAATTTATTTCCATCCCCCACCCCCCCTTCCTCCCATGCAGACTACTAGTAATATTTCTGGTTGAGATCATGAAAGGAAGATACACAGTTGAAGATCTTTAACCTACCATCCCAGTATACTAGTTAGGCTGGCCATTTTCGAAACTTGCACTGTGCTTTCTTTTTGGACATAGATGAATAAGATGAAGTATATATAAGCATGTATTCTCTTTAATGCTTTAAATGCTCACAAATCAATATTTATGGCTAGAACCAATGTAATTATCTTAAGATATGGCTTCTGGTTTTTGAAAACTATTTTTTTTCATTGAATAGTACTTCATGCAATAGCACAAACTAGCTTCAAAAGAAGTATTATTAAGAGATGGAGTCTTATTTGGCAAAAAATAAACCTGACATATAAAATTTCGTTTAGTTTTTTATAAGATTGGAAGAGTGGATAAAGAAATAATAATAACAGAATGGAAAGATAGATGCTTGTATGTGTGTTGAAATATGCTGGCAATTTATGTACTTCTCCACACTTACTGATCCAGGTCCAAACTTTGTACCAGACACTCCAGAGAGGCAGTCTCAAGTGATTGTTCAACATGCATACATTTTGAAGCTGAAAACATTTGTACTGTGGCATGAAGTTTTGCCGCTGAAAGGAAACAAGTAAAAAATCTTTTTGACTGTACATGAATTTTTCAGAGCACTTGAAAATGAGTACTCTCAACCAATATTTCATTCAAGTAATGAAATATTGGTTCAGAGTGCTCATTTTCAAGTGCTCCGAAAAGTATTTCATTACTTGAAGTCCAAAAGCCAAGAGAGGTTATTTTATGCTACATATTTATGTAGAAATTACAAAAGAAAGGCTTCTATAATAAAGCAGTAGACAACTTTTTTAAAAAAAGTCACTCTTGACTCCTAGTTGACTACAAGACAATTTTTTTTGAAGTAATTTGTCATGACAGTCTTCATGGGTCTGAGGAGGTGGTTGGCCCAAAGTCACCCATCCAAACAGACAGACAGCTTCTTCACAGAGGTTTCACCACAGCTACTTGAAAGCTGGATACTATAATTCCTCCATCTATATTCATGAGACTAGAATCTAAGGCACAACAAATATTGGGAATACAGTAACCTTTATTAGCCACATCTGAATCAATACTGATGTGGCATACCTGATCATGTGCTACAGAGTGTATACTTTTTTTTCCTCTTTGACAGCTTGATTTTATATTAAAAAGAGAGATTCATTAATGCTGCATTTAGTTTTCAATCTATTTTTTTTTCTCCTTTAGTCTGACCTTGTGGATCAGAGTATATTTAATTTTGTCCCTGAGGGGGAACATTCAGAGGTTTATAAAATACTGTCCACACATCTGTTGGAAAGTGATTCATTGACCCCAGAATATTTAAAATGTAAGTTGAATTTTTGAAATATTGTATTGTTACAAGGAAATATCCTTAAAAAACCTGCATGTTTACAAATATACATGAACTTCATGAAAAGAATTATTTATTTGTTGGGGTAAGAATTTACTGAAGTAATTTACATGGCAAGTAAATGAAAAGAATAGTATGACAGAAAACAAATGACGTCACCAACTAAGTGGCCCAAATTGGGGTGTGTGTGTGCTGAGGGGAATTGGGCTGCAAGAACGGTGGGCTGGTGCACACACTCATGCAGCTCCACTCTTATGAGTAGCGGACCGGCGCACATGCTTGTGCGTGCCGGCCTGCCGGTCATGTGAGTGGAGCTGTGAACTGTGAGTGGGCTGACTGACACATGTGGTTAGGGATCTCTGATTTAAGAGTATCTTTGTTCAGTATTTCTGTCAGTCAGATACTATTTCCTTATACTTCTTTATTCCCCCCCAATTTCATGTTTTCCTTTTCCTAACAGGTTTTTAAACAGGCTCTTGAGCTAGACTCAAGAAACAGCTCAAGAGCCTGTTAAAAAACCTGTTAGGAAAAGGAAAACATGAAATTGGGGAGAATACAGAACTATAAGGAAATAGTATCTAAGGTTCCTTCCAGCCCTATGATTTTGTGTTCTATGCTGGTAAATATTTAGCAACTGGCTCTGCCAGTTCCATTATCACCACATTACCAAACAGTTGATCAGCACACTAGGTGTTGCCACTCAACTTTGTTGGCAGCCAGCTTTCAAAATTCTAGAAAATTTAACAATTGGCTTTCACAAGACGGCATAAGCCAGCTCCAGCACACTACTGCCAAAGCTATTATTTGTTTTTCTCATTCTATATCAGTGGACAACAGAGCCATATTCAAAATCTTTCTTCGAACATGAATATTGAATATTATCTTTGGGGAAACTCAAAGAAGACTTGAGCTAGTTTTACATTTTTATAACAATCCATGGACTGAAATGAGTGGTTTCTGCATATTTCCACCAGTGATTTATCTGAGTTTCATAAAAGCTGGTCACTCCCAATGTAGCCCATTAAAAAAATGACTATTATAAATAATTGTATTTTGCAATGCTAATAGTTCTGTAGATAAAAAAGTCTTAATTTAAGCTAAGAAAATAAGTTACAGTGATATTAGTCTGGACATAAACCTTTGTATCTGGAGGGACATGCGGTACGCTTGCACAGACATTATTTTATAAATGTGAAAGTTCTAGACATTGTGCAAAGATACTAAAAATAAATTTACCGGTAGATGGCTGAGATAATGTTACACCATACGAAAAGCAGCTTTTTCCATTGGTTGTCATTTTGTGGACATATCGGATTCTAATTTAATTTTGATACTTTATCATTTATTGTTTTATTGTTGCAGCAAAAAATCAACTGGAGTTCTGTTGCCATATGCTCCGAGGGACAATAGACCCTAAAGAGCCACCTACATATGAATATGTAAAATGCATAGGAAACTTCAAATCCTTGAGTAACAGTAAGTTAATTAAAGCACATAATATGTTTTAATCAGCAATATTTTTCAGAACTTTGATAATCTATGAAACAATAAAACAAATAAGAAAAATCATTTGTGTTTTTACAATGAATAGACATAATAATAAATTGATAATGAGAGTAATAACAGTATTATTAATAATACACTGAAATGAGGCGTGTTACAACGATTGGTGCATAGAAATACCAGGCAATGAAAAACTGATATCAACAATTTAATTTGAATTTCCTGAACTGCTGATTGTTTTAGAGACACCACATTATACACATCATAATTTTTATTGAACTGTAGATTACTGTGTATAATGAGGATGAAGAAAGCTGTACTGTGTTTCTCCGAAAATAAGACCCTGTCTTATATATATTTGAACCCCGAAATAAGTGCTTGGCCTTATTTTTGGGGAGGTCTTATTATTTTGGGGTGTGTGGAGCAAGATGGGGCTCCTCTTGCCGTCTTACCTGATTTCCAGCTCTGCATTTAAATATTTTTGGGGAGGGCTTATTTTCGGGGGGGGAAGCTTATTTTAGCGAATGCGCTCAAAAGCCCGATTGGGTTTATTATCAGGGGATGTCTTATTTTCGGGGAAATGGGGTATTTTAAATTTAAAAACTTTTTTCCTGAATTCAAAGTTGCAATCCCATATCCCTTTATGTGGAAGTAGAATTATAGTGTGATGGCACTGTCTGGTAAATATGATTGTAGTGTCTCATAAGGACCTTAGAACTGAAAATTGTAAACAAAAGTACTTTCAGTCCACTAAAGAAAGAACTTTCCTATTAGAAGTAACTAAGAAATTCCTGAAGATTGCCATTATTAGAATAACAAATGCAGCTACCACCATACCCTTTGCAAATCAAGATAACCATAGTTTCTCGCTTGAGGCAGGAAGTCTCCCAAATATCTGCCTTTGCAAGCACAATTAAGAAATAAATTCAAAACGAAAAACCTGCTGCTCTTTTCAGGTTCTCCAGATTATCTCCCTGAGATGACAGCTTACTTTGCCTATTTGTAAGTCCGGTCAGACTGTAGCCTTATAAGCCAGTTAGTTTAATTACTTTATTGACATTGCACATGGTACAACGAGATTAAATGCCGTCTTCAGTGTACATTATAACTATAAAAATCAAAACACAAACATACATCCTTTACATTCTATATAATTGAAATTGAAAACCCGATATTGCACTATACCGTAGAATTCAATATGGTTATTGCCCTGAGATAGAAGCTGTTTTTCAGTCTATTTGTCTTACTTATTATTACTTACTATGAGTTACTCTTCATAATCAGTTCTTCCTGCTTACAGTTACCTCCTGTAACTGCTGACATGCTTGCTTCACACTCTTTTCCAAATAGCTCAGGATTTGTGTGGTGGTTCAGTTCCATACAATGGAAATTGTTTACATTGTCTTAGTTTACATGTATCTACATCCATTTCCCTTCAGATGGTTGCAATAGAATAAAACAAATGCAGGTAATCCTTGACTTAAAACACTTCCTTTAGTGACTGTTCAAAGTTACAACATCACGAAAGAGGTGACCTATGACCATTTTTCACACAGTTGCAGCATTCCCATGGTCATGTGATCAAAATTCAGATTGGCAATTTAGATGTTTGGCAATATTTATGACAGTTACGATGTCCTGGGATCATGTGATCACCTTTTGCAGCCTTCAGATAATTGAAGTCAACGGGGAAGCCAGATTCACTTAAGAACCGTGTTACTAACTTTTTTTTTGTAAAAATGAGGCAAAATTCAACTGTCTTGCTTAGCAAAAAAATGTTGGCATTCAGTTGTAATTGTAAGTTGAGGGCTAACTGTATTATAATACAAGGGATATCCTTTTGTCTGAATGGACAGAAAACTTCAATAACCATTTGAATAAATATAGTTTTATTCATATTTGTAACATTAGAGCAAAAAATATGCAGACTTGGCACTTATAAATCTTTTTTTGCTTTGTGCTTGGATGTGGTGTGCTTATAAAACATGCTATTTATTTCCCCCCCTCTATTTTACATGCTGGGAGATCCTCTCTAGGAGCATCTTCAGAAATCCTATTTATAGCTCATTTGGATCATGTTTATTTTTATTTTTAATTTTGGCAGTGTTCTTCAACATAGTCATTTTTTCCAGAGGTTTCTGCTGTTTTCTGTTAGTGACTGGGTGTGAAGGCATATAGTAGTTTCAAGTGACAGGCCAGGCTTTTTTTCTTGAGAGAAAGGCAACCAGGGAAGGTGGCAGCTGATAATAACAATAAAGGGCAATTAGCAGCACTAACAATACTATGGCGATGAGAACTGTTAGAAAGACCTTAAGCAGAGTAAATGGCAAGCAGGAACCGGTTTTCCTTGTGTGCAATAATAGTAAATGATGGTATCCCTGGACCAAACAGCTGTGGGTGGTTAGGAAGAAGAATTGAGGGTATTTTCATCAAATGGAGAAAGCATTGACATGACGCATCACACTTCTGTTACCAGAGACCTTTCCTTTAATATACATCATGGATGGCTAATAATAATTAAAACCTTTTAATTATAAGCTCTGTGTGAGTGAACAAAGTCTATATTCATTAGCATTCTCTTTTATGTGTTTTCCTTCTGTAAATCAGTGGCGAACTGTGAGATGTTGTAGAACAGGGGTGTCAAACTCACGTCATCACAGTGGCGTCAAGTGATGTATCAGCACTTCCCCCCCTTCGCTAAACTGGGGGTGGGCGTGGCCAGTATGTGATGCATCTGGCCCATGGGCTGGGAGTTTGACAGCCCTGTTGTAGAATATTTTAGATTTTAGCCTGAAGTGCATGGGAAGTTAAAATTTGCTGTCGATTAAAATCAAGTAATTATTCCAATGAATTAGTTTCACTAATTAAACAAAGGTTTTGGATTATTATCACTATAATTGCATTAAAGTGATAATTTAATTTCAAGTGATAATTTAATTTAAATTCTCATTTAAAATCTGAAGTCTTGTTTTATTTTTTCAGATGATGGTGTGTTATATTTTGAACTATTGCTTATTTATATGTGCTTGTGCTGATGCTTTGAAGTTATTGTAATTTTAAACTCTTTCTTTACTGCATAGTGCCTAACTCTGCACATAATGGTTATGAAGAAACCATCCAACGACCTCATAGGCCTTCGTATGAAGACAGAATTTGCTTTGTAGCTACAGTTAGGTTAGCTACACCTCAATTTATTAAGGTTTGTTAAAATTATCTGGTCAAAAACTTTGTTTGCTAGTTCTTTGCATTTAATTTAGTCTGATTTATTCTTATTTAATAGTTATTTAAATATTAAACCGTTTCTAAATTAGGGGGATACTTAGTTGTTAAACTAACAAACTAATAATGGTATTTGCTCTAGACAAAGGGCTTTTATGAAGTACTGGAGATGTGAAAGCATCAACATCCAGCTTCTGTTTGCTGCATTTTAGTAACGTCTAGTGCAGAGGTGTCAAACTCACAACTCATGGGCCGGGTGCATCATGTGCTGGCCATGCCCACCCCCAATTTAGTGAAGGGGAAAAAAGTTGCGATACATCATGTGACGACAACGTAACACCGCGAGTTTGACACTCCTGGTGTAGTGGATTAAGCCCATGTTTTATCTTAACCATATATGTCTCAACTGTTTAGTACTGGAACCAAAGTAGATATATCTTCCCTATAGAAATGCTGACATCTGTGTGGTTAGTCATTCATCACGCAAAATTTAATTGCTGGAAGTTATTTCTAAAGGGTGTCCTCTTTAAAGAAGAATATAGCACATGAATTATCAATTGGAAATAGTACAGTGACTCGCTACATCAACAGGCTTATTCCCAGCTCTGAAGAGAAATAGGTGTAATGCTGAGGATACCCGTGGGTCCTTTATTGAGCCCATGCATAGAATTCCTGCGGTGAGGAAATGTTCATCCTATAAAATGGATAGTAATGCAGGTGCAGCAAGTTGCATTAAATTAATCAGTTTCATTATCTGGACAATAATTTCAAAAGAGTCTTTAGTTTAGATCAGAGGAATTTTGAGAATCTTACTTTTTTTTAATATATATTATTTTTTTCTAGGAAATGAGCACAGTAGAAGAACCTAATGAAGAGTTCACCTCCAGGCATAGCTTAGAATGGAAGTTCCTTTTCTTGGATCACAGGTGCCATTTCTTAGAAATATAGTACCATGTGGTAGCATTTTATTAGCATCAGTGGGTATTATTTGGCCTTAGCTGCGTATAGCAAACAATGAATACCCTTGTTGTTGATGAATATCTTTATTTGATTCCAACCTTGCATTTTAAAAAACATAATAGCATTTTTTTCTCTTTTCTGAAAATCAAAGAAATAATCCTTGTATCATTTATCCAGGGCTCCACCAATAATAGGCTATTTACCATTTGAAGTGTTGGGGACATCAGGCTATGATTATTATCATGTGGATGACCTGGAAAATTTGGCAAAATGTCATGAACATTGTAAGTAATAACATAACCATCCTACATTATCATAGAATGTAAGAGTTGAAAGGGATCTTGGAGGTAATCTAGTTGGATCTTTGTCCAGGGTAGGAACCCAATGCAACACCATTAAATACATCAAATGGTAAACATATTTCTATTTTTCCCCCCGTAATTAAAGCTTAGAAAATTCAACTTGCTTAGAAAGAATGTACCAATGGTGCAATCATTATAAATAAAATTCATAGCACTGTTTTCCATATTTTTAAATAAGGTTTCCTTGTTTGTTTGTTTATTTATTTATTACTAGCTCACTTTGATTGGCACATTTTCACAAATTTTAAAACTTGTGTTAAAGTGCCTTTTTCTGCCTCCTTTTTTTAAAACAACTTTTAAAAGCAATGTATGTATGCAATGAACGTATGCAATTTTATGATTCATAGCAGCATCTGAATTACTTAAAGCAAAATTAAATAATTGTTGGTTTAAAAAATAGTCTGTTCACAATTGATTTTGTCATGCCATTTGGATATCTTGTCTCCTTGTATAATAAGTTCCAGCAGATTTAAACTCTTTATATTTAGATTCCTATCAAGAAAATTTAAACAAATGTTGTAAACTCTTTTAGACCATATCCCAAAATTGGCATCTTGTGAAGCCCCCTCCCCCTTTGTTGTTTCATCTTGTAGTAATGCAATACGGGAAAGGGAAATCCTGCTATTACCGATTCCTCACAAAAGGCCAGCAGTGGATTTGGTTGCAGACTCATTACTATATCACTTACCATCAGTGGAATTCTAGACCAGAATTTATCGTGTGTACACACACGGTAGTAAGGTAACGTAATTCTGCATCAGTTTTTACTTTAATTGTTTAAAACCATTTTCTACTTCTACTTTATTTTTGCTATTTCAACTAAGCTTCAGGAAAATGGCTAGTGAAAAATATCTGAGTTAGTCAAGACAATTACATTAATTTTGAATTGCCGATATAATTTTTTTTTTTTTGTATAGAACTCTACAGAACTAAAAGTCTAATGTCTTAAATGGTGCTAATGCTTTTGTATTTTGATAATATCCAGATATTTTCATTTATTTATCTGTAGTTATGCTGAGGTTCGAGCAGAAAGGCGGCGTGAACTTGGCATAGAAGAATCTCTGCCAGAGATTATAGCAGAGAAAGTATGTAAAGTTCTGCTCTTTCTTTATATTTGTTCCTTTTATTGATGTATTGTTCTTTTCACCTGGTGAATGGTTTAAATGGTTTAAAATGAATTTGCATTATAAAGTGAACTGAATCTCCAAAAATGCATTCACATAAATTATATGTGAGTATTTATATAAATACATTTATTTCTATTTGTTATGTTCATAATAAATAAGTATTCAGTGTTCTAGTAATATTCTGTTAGATTTAAAGAAAAGGAGAAAAGATAAATTTCAGATAACTGTTTTATGTAGTGGAACAATGTGTAGAATGCTATTAAATGGCATTTCTACAATTCTCATGCATCGATTAGTATTTTCTAGCTTTAGCACACCACTCTTATAAGAGTTTCCAGCACTTTTAGTTCTGAAATTTTGCAAAATATGATATGGGTAAAACAACAACAAAACATTTGCTTTGTTCTCATGGTCATTTCTAAAATGACTACACCTTCTTTTCTAAAAAACTTTCATTCCTGAAGAATTCGCTATTCCCTTCTCTCTCTGATTCAGTTCCACAAACATTTATATTGTCGTTCTCACTTTCACATTTATATACATTCCAGTTTTTCATTGATAGTCATATAGTTAGGCGTGTCCAACTTATGGGTCCGCTTCACATTGAATGAATTGTCTTGGGTCATATATAAAATATATAATATAGTTAATGTATATAAATGCGCATATTAATGGTAAAGTTTTATGACCTTGTGGGGCTGCAAACTAGCTGTCTGGGGCACATGCAGCCTGTGGGTCACGGGTTGGACATGCCGGCTTTACACCCCCCCCTTTTTTTTACTGGATTGTAAGAAAGCAAGTGGAAACCAATAGAGATTGTAAGCCATGGCTGGGACAGGAAGATATTTGGGTTACTTCATGGTGTGCAAAACTGGAATAATTTGGGAGTAGACGAATGCCATTTGAATGTTGTTGCCCTTATGAAAGTCTATATCTACATAATTTAAAAACATAGTCTGATTTTTCCTATTGTTTTGTTTTGGATGAGCTAGAAAAACCTTATTTTCCTCCCCAGAGTCAGGATTCTGGTTCTGACAATCATATAAATACAGTGAGCCTCAAAGAAGCACTGGAGAGATTTGATCGCAGCCCCACACCTTCTGCCTCCTCTAGGAGTTCCAGGAAATCTTCTCATACTGCCGTTTCGGATCCTTCATGTGAGTGTCGAGAATTGAAATATTTTCCTATGGTTGACTATTTATAGTCTCTTTATGATATGTTCTGTTTGAAGCTAAGAGACTTAAAAAACAAAGGACAATTAATTGCATTTGGAGTCTGTTTTAAGTTTTAAAAGCTTTATAATTTTCCAGTGAAAGACTAAGCATTTGCCTAAGTGTATTGGTTTTAGGTTGATGGTTAATAAAATCATCTTTCAATATTCATTGGCTACTGCTTTAGCAACACCAACGAAGATGACAATGGACACTAGCACTCCTCCAAGACAAAATTTATCAGCACATGAAAAGCCTGCACAAAGGAGAGCTTCGCTTGGTAACCAGGTAATTCTTTAGAAGTAGCACCACTTCTCCAAAATTAAGAAATGTTACTTTCATTTTTTTTAAAGAAGAAAAGCGAATTCTAGAAGGTTATCTCATCATCCAGTTTACACTTAATCATTCTGGAAGCTTTCAGATATCTAGGGAGTTTTTGCCCTGTGCTCTTTATGTACATTTTTATAGCCTTTTTGTTAATGTCACCCAGTACATCTGGCTGTTCAAATAATATAGAAGGTAATGCATATTTGAATGGAAATTAGATTTTAATACGTTTCACTTTGGTGAGTTGAAGTTGCTGTCTTTCAGTTTAACCGTTTGGTTCTTTAGAACTATTTTTCTATTTGCACCTCTTTCATGTCAGATAACCATTAGGGGCAAAGAAAAAGATGTTTATAGAAAGTTATTATATTCCCTGAGAGCAACACAGGGATAAATCTTTGAGGTTTCTTCTTTGAATGTTTGTTGTTTGTTGGCCTCTGCGAGATGTACATTTGACATTTTTTATGAGTATTTATATAGGAGGATTTGTTTTTATTCAGTTATGTCAGTAGAAAAAAAAAAGGATGGGTTTTTAAAATATTTTCCTGATATCAGTGTCATTAAAATAAAATGTTGCTTTATTTTCATCAGATGTGAAAGAAATGTAACTGAATAATTATAATATGTGTGTATATTTTTTCAATTTTAGTCTTTAAATTCTCAATCCGTTGGGCAGCCTCTGGCACAACCGATGATGACCCAGCCTGCAACTTTACAACTTCAGCAAGGCATGTCTCAGGTAGCAACCCAATCTGAATGTTAAAAGCAAATAGTGGTACTTTGTGCAGGGTGCCGAAAATACAATCCAAAATTTAGCACAGAATTTAAAAGATCTTAGCTGAATCAGATTCAATTCTTAGAGAGAAATAACTTTTTAAAAAAATGTCCAGTGTGATCTATGATCCTGAAAGGCTTCCTTCCCAACTACTAACCTTTTCCTGATCCTAATCAGGTCCCCAGTTCACATAAGATTGGCCAGGTGCTGTCAGTTGCCAAGCTAATATAAAATTTAAGTACTTAACTAAGGATATTTCTGTACTTTTTCCCCCTTAAAAAGTTTTTACCAGAACTAGTAAATATTTGGAAGGATACCAGTGACTCATTAATTGATTTGGGGATCTGAGCAGTATGAAACTGATAGTACCGTTGGAACACTAAATTTGTCTGGATTGTGCAGTTCATTTCCTAAAGCTAATTGTGAATATATTACAGCAGTCCAAATTGGTAATTCTACTTTTCAGCTTGCTTTTCAATTGTGCCCAGTAGCCAAATTTAAGAACTGCAAAGAGCAAATAATTAAAAAGGCATTTAAACCACTTTTAAATAATCATTTGGGCATCAAATATGATTGAGAGTCAGTTTATTTGATAGAGGTCATTTCAGTAGCAAATCTGTAATAGTTTTTTTTTTTTTTTTGGTAATCATATGCCAAATCCATGAGCTTATCTTCCTAGTTAAATCAGCATTCTATAAATAACAGATGGCTACATTGCTCACTATAGTTTTTTTTCCTGTTCTGTCATATATCTTACACTGGAGCTCCTGTTTATCTGACTTCTTTTCCCTTGGTCCTTTTCTCCTTGTTTACTTTTAAGGTTTCTCTAAAAGGTCAATATTCTCTATGTTGGAATTTTTTTGGTTGTTTTATGCTGTGTTCATTGATAAATACTTTAGCTAATTAAATTGATTTCAGTGTGTATATAGCTAACAGTAAGGTGCTTATGTTATAGTCGGATACTTTTCTTATAACATATTGATTACTGATTCAGATCTTTTATAAAAAATTCTGCTTTGTAGCCAATGCTTCAGTTTTCTGCTCAATTAGGAGCTATGCAACACTTAAAGGACCAATTGGAGCAAAGAACACGAATGATAGAAGCAAACATCCATCGCCAGCAAGAGGAACTGCGAAAAATACAGGAACAACTTCAGATGGTCCATGGACAAGGTCTCCAGGTTAGTTTGAACTAATTAGTTAGGAATGTAGGTAGCATGTAAAAATGAGATTTAATTTCAACAAATGAACATTGTGTTTATATTTCTATTGGCTAGTATAAACTGTAGTATTTTATCTACAAAATTTCATGATAAACACAGCTATCTATATTTTGATAATTCATTTGTTTGGAAAAATTTTCACAACTATAACACAGTCAATTCTATTTATATTAATTAATTGAATAATTAATATTAAAGATAGTCCTCATTTAGCGGCTACAATTGGGATCTGCAATTTGATCATTAAGTGAAACATCCCAATTTTATGACTTCAATTCAGATTTCTTTTTTTTTTTAATATATTAAATAGTTAAAAATTAATGCAAAGTAAAATAAAGAAAAAATAGAAAGGAAAAGTAAACAGATGAAAAAGAAAAAAGTAGAAAAAAGAAAAAGAAATTTAAGAATTTAGTAAAGAAAAAGAAAAGTTAATATCTAAAATAATTTCCAATTTTCATCACAATATAAACAATTTTACTAACTTTTTACCTCCTCTTAATTTACAACAATTGGATCTGTTCATCCAATGTCTTATCTATAAACAAATCCATAAAGCATCATCATTTTGGTCATGGTATCAGGTACACTCCATTAAGGAAATAACATAACTATTTTAACCTTAATCAAAGAAACTATATTTCTTTATTTTACTTTTAATAGTCTTAATTTTTAATCCATTCAAGTAAGGTCGGAGAACCTAATTTCTTTTTCTTTCTTTTTAACTCTTTCTCACTAGATTCTTTCAAGTTTTAACAAATCTCTTTTGTAAAATAAATATAAAATAATTACCCAGATCACTCCCTTGCTTAATTATTTGAAATTCCTTTTTTTTTAATTGTTAAAGCATCAGCCAATTTCTTCTGTATGTCCATTTTTTCCATGTCTTTCTTGTAACCTGTCATTTGTAAATCCATTTTCAATTCTGTATCTGTCTCTATCTTGTGAGTTTGTTCCTCTTTTCCATTTCTTCCAAAATAACTTTGGCACACAATCTATCCATAGTAGCAAACATTGCTATTTACATTGTCAATATTAACTTCTGATTTCATTTTTCAAAAGTAGCTTTCAATATTTCCAATGTTGTAATATTTTATGTTTTCTTCCCCTTTAATCAAAACCTTTAGTTCTCTCCAGTATCCAAATTTTGAAATTCTTCATCTCTTTTATGTTCAGAACAACTTGACTTTTCCATGGGAAAAATTCTTGTAATTAATTCCAACATCTTACTTCAGATTTATCTCAACACTTAGTTTATGACTTTCTAAAATCAAAATCTTAATTTGTCTTTTTCTGTTTATTTCAATTTTTAAAAGTTCTTAAGCTTATAGTTATTCTTTCATTAAAAAATTAATGGTAGACTTAGCCAGAGTTTTCAAATTTATTAAGCCAAAGGTTTCTGATAGCTGAAAAATAGTTAATAAGCAATTTTCAAATGTGATTAGAAAGTGGAGTATGAGAAAGTAGTGTCCTTTTAAAGGCTCCAACTGTAATTTGAGCAAAATGGCTATTCACTAACATCCCAGTGCTCAAAACCTAAGAGAGCGCTGCTTTGTGGTCTCCATGCGAGGAGCAACTGTCTGGGGTACCTCTGGGTAATTTCACATCCTCTCTGTGTCTAAAAAGCTGTTCTATTTACTGTCTCTTTGTTTTTCATCATGGTTGTTGGCTCTGCTTTTCACAGAGCCGTTTTCAGTCTGACATTTCTTCCTCTGAAAGTCTTCTATTTTATTTCAGCTTTTCTTTACTCTACAGTCCTGCAAACGTCATAAAAGCGAGGATTATTCGTGAAGTTAATTTTCATTGCCGGTGTAATTACGAATAGTCTCTAAATGAATCAGTTGCTAAACAAAGACTACTTGTAGGGGTTATTAACAAATATTGACTTCCTTAAAAGTTATATTATTATATGTTCTGCTATTAATTACCAGAACTTTCTTCAATGTATTGCCCTTAGAATGTATTGCACATACCCAATATATCTGGAGGACACCAGGTTAGAAAAATTGAAAAAAAGTAGAAAGATATCCTGATTTAGAATATATGCCATTAGGGACTTTATGATTTATGTGTTTGCTTAAGAGCAAGCTCCATTGAACTAAATGGCTTATTTCCAAGTATATTGATTGGATACATTTAATTTCTCATAAACAATGTTACTATACAAAATAATCATGTGATGATCATTTAATTGTTGGTAGTATTTTAAGCATTGATATGGACTATGTTTCTTCCAAAAGATGTTCTTGCAGCAATCTACTCCGGGGTTAAACTTTGGGTCTGTACAGCTAGCTTCTGGAAACGCATCAACTATTCAACAGATCACACCTATAAGCATGCAAGGCCAGGTTGTTCAGACCAACCAGATCCAAGGTGGCATGAACAGCGGACATATTGGTTCTCAGCACATGATGCAGCAACAATCTCTGCAAAGTACCACAGCACAGGTAGTAGATAGGATTCAGCCCTACGGTGACGTTTTGCAGAGTTGTGTAATGCAATGTTTCTCAACCTTGGTGACTTTTAGATGGGTGGACTTCAACTCCCAGAATTCTCCAGCCAGCAACGTTGGCTGGGGAATGCTGGGAATTGAAGTTCACCCATCTAAAAATCACCAAGGTTGATAAACACTGGTGTAATGTTTCAGATTCAGTTCCAAAATAGTGATTTGGAGCATAGGGGTGAAGTAAATTTGTCTTATCTGTGCAACTCTTTAAAACAGCTCACTTTTTTTTCCTTAAAATCTGCCATTATTGGAATTTGATCCTCTTTGAGTCTCTGTATGTTCTGAAGCAACTTCCTGGAAATGAGGTCTAAGTACCCCATATCCTAATTATGTGTCACAAGCATCTCTTGCATTTGTGTGATATCCTGTCACCAGAGTGCTTCCTGAGCAGCATTTATTTTGTTAGTGCATGTCTTCAAGAAGAAACTGACTTCTTGGCATAGGGAAATACTTACAGGGCAGGAAAGTGTAATTCATGAGCCAAATCAGCTTTTGGAGAGTTGCATGGGAAGCATGTAGTAATGTGAATTGCTCCTTCAGATAAGTATCTTACATTGATCCTTTGATGTTTAATAAGCAGTATCTTCTATTCTTTTGATTAAAGTTGCAGAAATATGCGTTCATCTTATTTTAATTCCTATTCTTTTCCAAATCGGATCCTAACTGGTTAGCAGTTTCATCATAAGATCTATGTTTCTAGTGCTATAGTCATAGCTAAGCTCAGAAAAGGATATTGTATGAGTACTATAATTGGCTCATAGTTAACACTTTAATTTAGACTACTCTTCCTTTACATTGGAGTAGTGATAGTTCACATCTGTTGAATGAAGCTGAATAATTTCTCTGACAAAATATTTTATTTCTGCAGCATAATCAACAAAACATTCTCAGTGGGCATAGTCAACAGACGTCTCTAAGCACTCAAGGCCAGAACACGCTATCGGCCCCATTATACAACACTATGGTAATTTCCCAGCCGGCTCCAGGAAATGTAGTCCAGCTTCCTTCAACTCTACAGCAGACCAATAACCAGAATGCTGCCATCACCACATTTGCCCAGGATAGGCAAATCAGGTGAGTGTGACTCTGGCAGGATTCTACTGCCCGAGTGTTCTCGATAGCAGAATTGGAAGGTTAAGGAGACTAGTATATACAGGGGTGGGCTGCTGGGGGTTCGAAGGGGTTCGGGAGAACCTCTAGCTAAGATTCTGTGCAGTTCGGAGGACCCCCAAATCCCATTCCTGGCTGGCCCCGCCCGCCCCTCCCAGGAGTCCCCTACGCCGCCCATTTTGAATGCAGGTAAGTGCAGGGCACACGTGAAGGCTCAGGGAGGGCAAAAAATGGGCCTACTGGAAGTTCGGGAAGGCTGGGAACAGGCCATTTCTGGCCTCTAGAGGGCCTCTGAAGCCTGGGGAGGCCGTTTTCGCCCTCCTGGAGGCTCGAACAAAGCCTCTGGAGCCTGGGGAGGGCAAAAACACACACACACCACTGTATTGCAGAAGGCCGACTAGGCCATACCCACCATGACCATGTCCACCCAGCAACCAGGCAGAGAACCCCTTGGTAAAATTTTTGAAGCCCACCCCTGAGTATATATGATAATTCTCTTTAAACTTTGCTTAGAAAAGTTTTCTTTATTGTGAAGAGAAAATTACCGTGTTTCCCCAAAAATAAGACCTGTTATATTTTTTTGAACCCTGAAATAAGTGCTTGGCCTTATTGCCATGCGCTCAAAAGTCCGATTGGGCTTCTTATCTGGGGATGTCTTATTTTGGGGGAAACAGGATAGAAAGATTAAACAAGGAAACCAGTTTAATAAATGAGGGAACAAGAAAGAGAGACCAATTTAAAAATGATATTTTGATATGTTATCTACTATGCGTGGGGACAATCTTCTGGAGTTCTGCTGCTGCAGCACTTAATTTTTCTTGGGAAAGGGAGAGCCAGCATGGGTAAAGTGATGATGCACTGTAGGTAGATTTGTGTCATGTGAGGGCAAAGATAGGATATTTTTTCTTGTTTTTTTCTTTCTTTAAAGTTGGGCTTTTAAAAAGTTTATTAAGCTCATTTTAAGATTTCCTACAGTTTTTATGCTCACCTCAAAGTGATGTCCCTTGTCTAATAAAGCAAAACGAAAACAAAAATGTCATGCTGCCAATTTTAACAATTGTTTATTTTTATTTTATTTATTTATTTGTCGGGGACGTATTAGATAATATCTATCTATCTATCTATCTATCTATCTATCTATCTATCTATCTATCTATCTATCTATCATACACATATATATGTATAAGCATGAATTGAATACATAAAATGAATACAATTAAAGGGAACATTAGGACAGGGATGGTAGGCACGCTGGTGCTCTTATGCACGCCCCTTACAGACCTGAATTGTGGTCAGAGGAATCACAAAAATTATTTCTCTGAGGACAATGTTTGGAGATTTTGTGGCTTCAGTTTGGTCCTTCCTGATTTACTATGGCAACTAACTGGATGCCATTTCCTGTATATATATATCTGGTGATGATAACAGATTGCCTTCAGTGCCTGACATTGACTTTCTTGAAATTATTTGGCTATAAAGATGGGGGAGAGGCCTTTTCGGTCATGATACCAAACTTTTAAATTACACTTCCCAACAGGAAGGGCTTATGTCAATATATTGGTTTGTAATTCTGCCAGTATATATCTTCAGCATATAAACTTTTTAAAATTTAGTTAGCTAAGTGAAAGTGTAAAACTAATTGTATTAAAAGATGGCTGATAAAGTAGAAACCTATCCGGCAGGATCTAGCTCAAAATGTTGGATCCGTTGGACATTTGTTCTGTCCCAACAGGGCTGCCATTTTGTATGAAACTTACTGGCAGTCCAGTTCACATTAAGTTAATTTAGAATACCTGGGAGGGGCAACTGATACTTATTTGCTTTCACAGATTTTCCCAAGGCCAACAGCTTGTGACAAAATTAGTGACTGCGCCTGTAGCATGTGGAACAGTAATGGTCCCAAGTACCATGTTTATGGGGCAGGTGGTGACTGCTTATCCGACTTTTGCTGCACAACAGCAACAGCAGCAGCAGCCACAGACATTATCAATACCGCAGCAACAGCAGCAGCAACAAGAACAGCAGCAGCAGCAACAGGAGCAGCCCCAGCAGCAACTTGCTTCAGTTCAACCTCCAGCTCAGGCTCAGCTGACTCAGCATCCTCAACAGTTTTTACAGGTGAAACCAGAAGGAACCAGCTCTCTGAACCCCCAGTTCAATTAAACTAGAGCAGTGTTTCTCAACCTTAGTAAGGTGTCATCTGTGGACTTCAGCTCCCAGAATTCCACAGCCATCTGTTGAAATCCCATACATTTTAGAGATGCCAAGATTGAACACCCCCTCCCCCACCACCAAATTAGAGATATCTTCAAAGAACTTTGTAAAACCATCTCCCGCAGATAGAACATGCTTTACAACTTTGGTGCTTGTGTGTTATGTGCTTAGGTGTGTACAGTACATATATTTTAAAGTGTATAACGCAGGGCATATATTAAGAATTGCCAAAAATACCAGGTTCTGTTCTTGAAAGATGAATTTTTAAATAGTTTTAAGTTCAGATATTCAGGCAAGGGATTTGGCTGGGTTTATATATTGCATTTCTCCACTAAAACAAATGCCTGCAGTGAGCATCTCTCGGGCATTCTTCTAATTTACAGTTAGAACTGTTGCTTTAAAAAAAAATCTTTTTTGTTTTTGTCAATATGTAATTACTTGCATATGTTTATATATGCTTCCCCTTGCTAGTAAGAGGCATCAGTAAATGTTTATTTATTTATGGTCCAATTACAATATAAAGAGGCAAGAAAAATCCAGAATTGAAGAGTGTACTTATTAATAGCAGTAGGAAGAAAGCAAAAAATATAAAGTTTCACAAAACATACAACAAGAGAGAGAGAGAGAGAGAGAGAGAGAGAGAGAGAGAGAGGAAGGAAGAAAGAAAAAGAAAGGAAGGAAAGGAAGGGAGGAAGGAAGGAAGGAAGAAAGAAAGAAAGAAAGAAAGAAAGAAAGAAAGAAAGAAAGAAAGAAAAAACAACAACAACACAGGCAGTACTGCTTCCTATTTTCCCCATAACAAAAACCCTTTGAGGTGGGTTCGGCTGAGAAAGTGGGACTAGCCCAGTCACCCAGCGGGCTTTCATGCTTAAGGCAGGACTAGAACTCGTTGTCTTGGCTTCTAGCCTGGTGCCTTAACCACTAGACCAAACGGGTTCCCATTATATATAGATATCGTGGGATATACACTAATTGGACACAGGAAAAAGGGATGCGTCCACACGATTCCCCTTTTCCCTCTTTATAATAAATAAACTGCAGTTATAGTAGGGGATCATAATGTGATGTTGTTGCTTGTGTTCTGACATCTTAACCCCCCTCTCGCTTGTATATTTGTAGACATCCAGATTACTTCATGGAAATCAGTCGACACAACTGATTCTTTCTGCTGCTTTCCCACTACAACAAAGCACTTTTGCCCAGTCGCATCACCAGCAGTCTCGGTCACAGCCACCGCGACACAGAGCTGACAGCATGACGGAGGCTTCTAAAGTGCCACCCCAATAGTGTGGGGGCTTTGCTACTGGGAGCAAGACTGGCAGGGGAACTGCTCAGTTTGTAATTGCACTGGAGACGGTGAGATAGGAGTCGACAGATTTTGCAATGCACAGTATTGAAATTCTTTTAACTGTCTGGAATGTATCTGCTGAAGAAAATTGGACAGAGTGCTATGGGAGTTCCAATAGGTGTAAAGCTGGAGGAGATGACGGGACAGGGACATGCTGACCTTTGCCAGGAATGTAATTGCTCTGGTTTCTGTGTTTGGCTTTTCTTCAACGGCCATGAGTTAATTTGTCCAGATCAAAGTCAAAATGTTCAGTGGACTAAACAAGATACTTACAATTAAGTTTGCTCAGATTAAGTGTTATGATGGACATGCTGTTGCTACAGCTATTTAAGTATGCCTGCAATTATGCTCCAAAGCAAAGTTAATTTTTTTCATATTACAGGACAGTAAATATTTTCAAAATATTGAATGGAATCTATCTTCATTGTACAGATACTGTAAAATACTGTGTATATGTCTGGTAAAAAGCAAGAGAGCAGGATATTTTATATGATGCATGGAACTTGGTTTGAATATGTTTTTTCCCCAAAATTTCACCAAATGTTCAAACTACTGTTTTCATCTGTTTTATACCTGTTTGTCTTCTCCATCATGGAATCTGTAACCTGCACGATCATTTATTCTCATCTGTAATGTGGGCACAATCTCCTGTTCGTGGTTTATGTGTAATGTCCAGTTTGTTCCATGAGGTGATAGTGCGTTCAGGTTTGTGGAACTTTTTGCAAGTTAAATTATTGATGAAACTCTTTGAACTGTGGGGGTTCAAGGCATTCAATTTCATAAATACCATTTGTCATGTATCATTTCATGAATATTTTTTTCTTTGGAAAAAAAATAGGAATTTGCACTGCTCTGTTTTTGATGGTTTGGAATTTTGATTCCCCAAAGCTGTCTTTTGATATAATACATAGTTGCAAATATTTATGTAAAACATATGGTTTAAAATAGGAACATAATTTTCACAAATGACTCAAATATAGGAATAATTTGCACAAAATATATTTAAATTTAATAATTGTAGGCACTTTTTAACTTCTCTGCCGTGGGAAATGTGATTTCGGAATTTGTTGGAATCTTTTTATTCTCCTGTAAAATGTTAACCTTTATTTAATCAGAGATAATTCAGGGTCATTTGAAGCAGAACAAATAATAAAACCTCCACAGTGCCTTGATTTTGATTCAGGTAGTAGTGCTAAACATACTGAATTACATTATCTAGAATTTATGATCGTATTTGAAATTTTAGTTCACTGACAAAACATGCTTCCTAGATAAGTCTCTATTGTAGTTGTACATATAAGTATTTTAAAAACTGTACAAATTGACAATTGAAATGTTTTTAAAATGCTGCGCTCTCCTTCTCAACCATTCAGTAAGGGGATAGCTGCAGTGTAATTACTCACATTTCACAATTTGAAATTATGCATTTAATTTTTTTCTAAATTTATGCCAAAACATGTATGTGAGTAACAACACAACTAACTCGTAAAGCAATTTAAATTGAGTTACCTGAAATGAGGTGGAATACCTAAATAAGATATAAAGGGATAACATTGTATTAAGACTTCAGATGACAAATTCACTTCATAAAGATAATAAAAAGATCCAACTGAAATTCTGTACAGATTTTTTAAAAAAATGTTTTAATATATTTTATGGTACTAGTTTTAAAATCCACGTCTGCAGAGCAAAATAAGTTTGAAAAGACTTATAAATTGGGCATCTAAAAGAAAAAAAAAAAGTATTGGAATCTCTGAATCAAGAAAGATTGGGTAATAAAGAGGAGCTTTATTAATGTAACCAAAGTTATAGTGAAAGCCGCAAAGAATGTAGTGCTGTTTGGACAAAGAAACATCTTGGTAGAAAATACCAAATGTTTTATCCTAAGGTTAATTTGAATGCTATTCAGGTATCATGCTAAACTATCAGCTTATCTTAGTTGAAAATGTGCCCGTGTACATCTACTGACTATTTTTTAAGTGGTAGATAAATTGAGTGTAACATTCATACGAAAGATTCTGCTTTCATCTGTCATGAAGAAATCAGAGAATGAAGCCATAATTTGTTTAAATGCCATCCATGGCTTTATTTCTTAGTTTTTCTGGGAAACATGCTAGGCTTGCCCACAATGTGGGTTGACTGTAGCCGCATTTATGACCGCACCAGTGGCTATGCTTGAGCATGTTTGTTACTAAGGCAGGCATATGGTTTAATGTGATATGTGAATGGCTCCTTCAAGTTTTTTCCATTGCTATAGCCTTATATGGTTTCAGTCCTTCCTTCCCACCCCATGCATCATTCAACCGTTTTAATAGTTTGTACCGTAATCAAATTTTTAAGGTTTATTTTTAAAGAATCAAAGAACCAAAGAATTGGATTAATCCTATTCCCTCTTGGCAAATACTGGAAACCAGTAGGTAGCTTACATAGGAAACTACGTAGCATTATTATCTACATACATAAGAAATGTGGAAATAGTTCTATGAATTTAATTGCCAATAACTCTGTTCTGCCGTAACTTGTTTGTTGTAATCCCAAGCCTGGCTGTGTTGAACAAAGATCTTTGTATGTAGTAAATGATTGTCTAGTTGGGCTTGAAGCTGTTTAGAATATTATAGCATTAAATAAGACAATTGGGAGGGCTTTGGAATTGCTTTATAGATCAGGGTTTTAGCCTAAGAATGCAGAGCAACAGTCATGGGCAGTTTATTTGGTATAGATTTTCTTTGTAATTTTTATTGAGAAAGAACACATCTACAGTATCAGTAGATGTGACATGTATTTTTGGAGGTTATATAAAAGGTAATGGAAGAAAAGTAGTAAGAAAGTAAAAAAAAAAATTACTAAAGATTTTTTTTGTCTACAGCACTCCAGACATACTTCAGTGAAACAAAAATATTTTTTTTTTAGAAGGTAGGTTGGCATTTATGTTTATCTTCTGGCTGATGACTTTGTCTGAAGATCTTTTGCTTCCGTGGAGTGTCAGTGTGCCCTAAGTAGCAAAAAGATCCAGTTTTCTCAAGGCTAACTTTTAATCTCAGAAATCGTTTGTAAGCGTGGTTATTCCACCGTCTGTGATCTAGTATGGCCAAATGTCTCTGCTGGGGGAGGCAGGGTGGGTGTTGTGGGCACGAGGAGTTAGGAGTTGCCGTTGTGGGTATTGCACTTAACCTAAGGCAGGGGTGGGCAACCTGTACAGGGTCAGGGACCACAGTACAGCTTCCTGATCTGCTGGAGAGCTGCAGGAGGCCTTCCGTTGACATGGAGAAATGGGCTGGCCTTTGGAGGGGCAGTGTTTGAGTGGGAAGTGGGGCCAGGAGAGCTCTGGGAGGCAGGTTCCCTTCCCACCATCAAACTCTGCGACCGTGCCAAAATGCATTCGTTTTGAGGCCAGTTTTTGGCAGTGCAATTTTGGCCCCTTTTTCAGGGTGGTTGGATAGTGTGAAGGGTGGGAATGGGAACCTTTTGCTTCCATTCCCATTCTTTTTTTGGGGGGGGGGGGAAAGGAAAACTTGCTTTGGCAAAATCCAGTCGTTTTGCCATTGAATTTCAGCAGTGCCGCTGCAGAGAGGTTACAAATGAGTTCCTGGGAGTGGCAAGATGCCAACCTCTGTGCCGAAGCAACCGTTGAACAAGGGGTAGGAAGCCTGACAAAGTGCTGCTGAAAGGGAGAAGGGTAGTTTAGGTTTGCTTACATTTGTGGGGTTGGGAGGGTAAGGAAGACTCCAAGATGAGCTTCTGGGAATTCTAGAGGGAATCATACAAATATTTTTGATATTATATTTAATATATATATATATACACATATATACTATATTTCTACACATATTAAGAGAATATAGTCAGCACTCTCCATATGCCTTCCATTATTTTTATGTAGAAGTTTCCTTGCTGGTGCAATGAATTATTCCAGTCTGTCACAATCTGTAGGCTTCCTGCCTGCTGCCAGCTGACAAGAATAAAAATGACTGAACATCCACACAAGTCCAGAGCTGTCAGATAAAATCATGTTAGTTGCTTAAGAATCTGTCAGAAAAGGTAATCCTTGTTAACCACTGTGGCTATAGAGTCACTGGGATTGCGAAGAGATGGAGGTAACCGCATTTAGGGTGGGATTTGAAATAATAAAATATTTTTTAAGTGGAAAGAGTCTTGCCAAGAGACCAGAACCTAAAATATAAATAATGATGCACCTGGGTAGATTGGCAAGTCAAAATTGCTTTTTCTCTGAAATGCCACACACTTTGTTTCTGCAAGTGGTGATCACTCTCCTGTAATACTTGAGTATGATATTAAATTAGATAGGCTAAAATGTGCGCAAATATAAGCACTTTATTGGGGGGGGAGGGGAAATCTCATTTTGAAATATGATTTATTTAGGCAATGGGACTGTTCACAGAAGAAAGGGGTGGGGTCAGAATGTAGAAGAGGCATTGCTGGAAAATGTTTCTTAACATTTAGGCTTAAGTCTAAATACGTGATTATGCAGACATGTAGTATCGGTTGGCTTTGTACGGATATAAATAAATACCTAAGCTTTTTTCAGAACTGATTTTTTTTTTAAAAAAATAAATAAATGTTGCACAATTGCCAGAGAATTATCAACGGGAGGCTTTCATATAATTCTAAGTGGTCCTTAGGATTAAATGTGAAGAGGGTTTACAGATGTGGCCTTTAGTAGATTGCTTCAGTCACAGGTATAATTTGTATTTTTTAGTGAACACCCATTTTTGTTGTGTATGTTTGTAGGTGTGTGTGATTTTTTTTTAAAAAAAAATGTTACTGTGTCATGTGATGTCAGCATGCATGTCAAACTCCTAAATCAATTGTCGGAAATGTATTGTTGAGAGATGTATGTGACGAGACAAGAAGGCCCAGAGGGAGCCGATTTGATTTGGAAGAGGGGACGCGTGGTTTCTTCTTCCCTAGCCCCCACGTTAAAAAAAATTGGAGATGTTTTCAGATGTATACAATTGTTTGAAGTTGAATGTTGAACAGTCTGAGCGAGACAAGCTTTGAGAGACATTTTTAAAAACATAATTTGGTTGCTTATGAAACTGAATAGTTTATTGATACATATTTTTTTAACACTACATTCCTCTGTCTTTAATAAACAAGTACTTTACAGTCTATGTTGCTACGCTTCATGCTTTCTCATCTGCATGGGTATTGCCAGCAGCATGATCGGCCGTATTGCTTAAAAGATATTGTACCTGCCAGTAACACACAAACAAAGCAAAATGAAACACTGTGTATGAACAAAATACTGTGTTGCCTGATATACAGATCCCAGCTCTAACTGAGGTGCTGCACTAGTAGACAATCAAAATCTATGGAAGACTTTGGGGTGGGGTGGGGTATGTTCTTAAAAGATACAGCTGCTTTGAAAGTGTTTTTTATTCTTAAAAGTATTTATTTTTTAAATTGTCTAATTGGATACTTTTCAGTGTTGATTTCACATTGTCTTCGTTTTGCATTTTTAAAATTTGGCATTAGATTTGTATATGTAGGAAACCTGTGTGATTTTCATGATCTGACATCAGGAACTGTAGATATGGATCCTTAGTGTTCATGTGATCATTTACCAAGTGTCAGTTTTTAACTGAATAAACATAACATTTGAAATTTCTGCTTTGTAGCATTAAGGTTTTGATAATGTTTCCCGCTTGAATACTTCTTCTTGCTGACTTGGTATCTATACTATTACTTTTCTTCAACAACAACAATCTCAATCGGAAAGAATTGAGTGGGGTGAAGAGAGATGAAGAAATTGCAAATACAAGCGGCACCCTTTGCATTTGGCTGGTGATAATTGTGGCTCTTTTTGCATTTCAGTGATGATGCTAATCATCTAGAACACTATTTCTCAACCTGGGCAACTTTTAAGACGTATGGACTTCAACTCCCAGAATTCTCCAGCCAACTTAAAAGTCCATACATCTTAAAGTTGCCCAGTGAGAAACACTGATCCAGTATAATAGAGCTGTTTCCAGCCTTAGATACTGGTCTCTCGCAAACACTGAACAGGAGTACCTTGCATTTCTAGACGGATGGAAAAGGAACAAAATTCGCTATTCTTTTTCAATGCTCATGCTTCTGACAAAAATTCAAACTTACAACAAGTGGTAGGAAGAACAATAATTTAGGCTAACTGCCAATTAGTTTTATTTTCAAGGATCTGAGATCTGAAAATCTGAGGATTGTCACATAACTCTTGAAAGTCCCAAGGATGAGAAATGACCTACATTTTGAATCTTTCAAGAGTCTACAGCTCTCCCTATTGACTTTGATGGTGGGGAAATGAATACTGGTCTATAGAGTCTGTGTTGCTTCAATGGCCATAGGATTGTGGTCTGTGTGATTTCTTCCCTGCGTTAAATAAAATCATGTCCGATAAGATTTCATAGATGTGCTGTTTTTTAAAAAAATACCTCTAATTGAATGCAAGACCCAGTTGCCTTTTAATAAAATTTAAGTAATAGTTCAGGAATTTACCTAAATAATAGTTAAACAAGTCTCAAGCGTTGTTAGGATTAGGAAAAACCAAATGCATAGTTAACAGAATAGGTGGAACCTGGTTCAATAGTAATAACTCTGAGAGGGATCTCAAGAGTTAAAAGGTGTTTTTATGACCCTATAAAGAGTGCAAAGAAGGCCAAGGATGATAAGAGGACTAGAGGCTAAACCATATGAGGAATGCTTAAAGGAACTAGGTATATCTAGCCTGACAAAAGAGAAGGGTGAGGGGGGGGATAGGATAGCTGTCTTCCAGTACTTGAGGGGAAGTCATGAGGAGATCAATTTATTTTCTATAAATTCTCATTATAGTCACCCATCTAACAAATACCAGTTGCCAACAATACAATAAGAATGTCAACTTCATGTTGGCTTTAAAATTGCATTTCCCCCTCAATGTAGCTTCAAAATAGAATGATTTTCAAGTACTACAATGAATCTTTTAAATAACTCTTACTGCCCTGATAATTACTCATCCGTCATTTTCCAATATTCAGAGACTGAGGGTTTGGTAGACTTGACACCCACACAACAGGATTGGAGAAAGTTTGAAAATCAGCTGATTATGGAATAGGATCACTTATGATTGCAATAAAAAAAAGCAGATCAAAAGGACTATCATGAAAAATTTAAGCCCTGATCAAAATGCTCCAACATTTGCTGTGTGATACGATTTGCTTCAATTATCTTTCAACGGTGTAAGAATATGTTCGTGACACTGCGATGGTAAGAGTTCCATTATTTTTTTTAAAAAAAATTCTTGCATAGCCTGTTATCAGTTGATAACCATATTGTTTACTTTTGATTTTTAACATTTGCTGTCCCATTGGCTGAGCTGTCCTGAGAAAGGAGTCCGAAAGTAGCTTTTTCTGCAGCAGAGCTAGGTGCACAAGGATTAATTATATTGTGCGGGAAGGAAGATCAGCAGTAATGATCCTAGACGGGAATGACGAGAATAAGGGCCGAGACCAAAGTGGAGTAGGAAAATGCGTCCGTGTGCAAGAACAAGAAAAGCACGCAATCTGGCCACACGTCTGAGGTGATGAGCAGTCTGTTGACTCTATGCCTCCATGCTGTTACCACCAGCCAAAAAAAAGAAAAAAGCACCAGGTAGTCACCAAAGGAGCCTCAGCTGGTACTCTTTCTCTCATTTGATTTCAGGGACTGTAGGCTTCACTCTCCCACCTACCAAGACAGCGGGAGGGCTTGATTTCATTCCATGCAGGTCACTATAGTATCAATGGATTGGGGACTCAGGTTTTACAACACTTTGCAACTCCGCTAGATGCTGTTGGCTTAAGGATGGCAAGACTGAAGAGCCTCTGGAAGGGATGATGTAAAAATAAGGACATACAGATGCAGAAGCAAATATACTACACAAGGCATGTTACCACGATAGGAAATGCTTTTAGATAGAAGAATGCTTTTAAAGTCTCAGTAAAATGGCAACAAAAGAGATTAAACTCCTGAAAAACAGTGAAGTGTTTTTCTTCCCTCTTTTAGGAATAGCACCTATACTGGAAAATAGTGAAAACCGAGTTTACTACTAGATGAAGGTGAACCCCTCTTCAGAATCATCCAGAAATTATACCTGTACACATTACGCTTAACTAGAAGAATCTCATACTTAAGAAAGATGAGAATAAAGCAGTAAAAAAATCATCTTTACAAAAGAATTTATTTTAAAGTGGTCTTTCTAGCTTGATACTCATCTTTTACAAACTGGATTCTTTCTTTATTTTTTTTTCCCTTCCTTTTTTGCCTACAAGATGGACAAGTATATTGCTCAATGATAGCAACTGGCAAATCCAGAATCCTGCTGGCAGATCAAAAATAAGAACAGCATTAATTGAACTATTTTCAAGAAACTAATTCCATTCCAAGCAATGGGAAGATACTGGTTTTATACCAGCAAAATAGCTGATCTAAATTCTCTCCTATGCCAGGCATATGATGTAAACATGGGGAATGCTCTGAATCCTTTGGATGGCTTCTGAACTTCTAGACCGAGGGGGGGATGGAGGAACAGTTTCAGAGGGCAAAAAGGAGAGGTAATTTGGAACGCTTCCATTTGATCAATCTTATCTCAGCCTTCTTATTGAAGTATTGGTTAGGAATAAAAGCTTTAATTTGGGAAAGGGGTTCCCCCATATTGTGGCAGTGCCATTCTTTATGTAAAACATCATCTTTAGCAGCACAACCTGATGCCTCAGATACTATGGCTAGATCCACTAATTACATTAAGCCAACGATTTGCTAAATGTTGCATCTAACTGGGTTTGCATAACACCAAGTTAAAGACCAGAGTTTATATACCGAATGGCTGAATCTACACAGCGTACTAAGGCAAAATTGTGGCACAGCTTAGAACAATGCATGTGGCACTGAATCAGTGGCAAATTATCATGTTTCCATAACTGACAAGCAGCATGACTTAAAATTAAAAACAAAAGCAATTATGAGAAATCACAGAAATCCATCAAAGTAATCCATCAAAGAAATCCATCAAAGGTACTGGAGTAAAAAGAAATGGCTACAACCACTAAAAATATAAAATATTGAACAGTACACATAATTTTCCTCTGAATAAAACCAAAACACATTTTAATTGCATTTCTATAATAGGAGGTACCTAGTTTTTATCCATTTGCTCCCATATTATTATACTTACTAAAAAGAAAACAACGACCACTTTAAGAATATTTTAATCTGAAAATGCATCAAATGTTCGGTAAAATACAAAAATTGATCTGCAAATATCTAGATGGATTCTGTATTTTGAGACCATTTCTGAATTAGCACATTCCATATCAAAATATCCTGATTCTTCCACAAGTCCACCACGCTCAATATCTTGAATAGATGACTTAATTGTTGGCACAGCTCTCCATTTCTGATTGTGGAACCATGTACTTGAGAAATAAAATCGAAGGGGGGGTTTTCAAGCAGTGTTTTTTTGGACATCTGCAAGTAAAATAACTCCGCAAAATTTCAGGAGCTGAAACCTCAGTTTATCTGAGTCGGTACAGTAAGCAAATGTACATTATTCCTATCCCAAATATATAGATCATGTAATTGTTCAGCAGAGACTGTATCTACAAAACATATCAAACTAATTGTTACTATAAAAATTACAGCATCCCACCTTCAGTGCTTGTTTGAATAAGTAGCTGTACATTATATACAGGAAGCCGAATGGCAGTCACTGGTTCTAATTCTTCAAGGAAAAGGAGGAAAAATAGTCCTGCTAAAATCCAACATCTGGGCTTATAAATAGTGCAGAGAATGCAAAGGCTAAGAAAACAATGCCTCCTATGATTGTCACTGTAAAAGAAAAAGAAAAAGAAAAAAAAAGGGGGTGGGAGAGAATAACCAGATGGTTAGAACTTATATATAAAGGACAAAATTTCACAAGGCTTTTTTTTTTTTTTTTTGCATTCATGAAATTACTTTCATGCCTCTACTTCTTACCAGTATCTAATCAATCAAGACACCCGCCCTATATATTTCCAACATGGTCAGAGTCAAGAAGTTATAAACGACAAGCTTTAGTTAATGTTTATATACTGTAAGAAATAATCAACATCAAATGATCTTTGTGCAAGTCAGCAAAATTTGAACCACAAAGACCTCATCGATGGCTTTCATAGGAAACATGTACTTTCCCTTTCTGTTTTTTGTATTTTTAATTGTTTCTAGGGTTTAAAGGTTGTATCTTTTGTTATGATTTTAGTTTTGTATTTTGTGTGTGTGTGATTTGAATCCTGTTAAGCCACCCACTCTCATGTATGTGAGATGGGCAGTTGTATAATTTCAACCAATAAATAAATGAAAAAAAAAAATGTCATTTTTGCCTACTGTATACTTCTATCAAGAAAGACTAAATAATAAAATATTTCAGTAAATGGTTAAATGAGAGACATTTGAAAAACTGATCTTGAACCAATTGGAAAATTAAGACAGTATATAGGAAGTTTCATGACAAGATGACAGGTTTGTATCTGCTCAGGCCCATTCACACTGGCTGACAGTGGATTAAAGACAATTTCCCCTCTCTATCCAAAAAAAACCCCATTCTAAATAGTGAGCATGAACTTAAAAAAGAATATAGTAAATGGAGAGATTTCACCTATTTCAGTTTTCTTGAACCAATTATCCACTAACTTAACAAATGGTAGGACTTGGCTCTATTTTAATGCATTGGTTACTTTGGGCAGGCCTAACGTGAAGGATTTGCTAGGTGTTTAAGACCATATGTCCCATGGATCAGCTTTTCAAAATCTACAGAACTGATAGTGATACCCTGTTTCCCCGAATATAAGACATCCCTTGATAATAAGCCCAATTGGGCTTTTAAGCGCATGCGCTAAAATAATACCCCCCCAAAATATTTTTTTTATTTTAATTTTATTATTATTTTATGACACATTAAAAAAATACAAAACATACAACGTTTATATACATAAACTCTTTTTACAGCTCTTTCGTAGTGATCCTTACTTATTATATACTATTTATACAAATTTTAAAATATTTAATCGCATGTGCAGCCGGTCCCCGCCATTTCCTCTGGTTAGGGTTAGAGACAGAGCTGGAAATCTGCTAAGGCGGCAAGAGGAGCTTTATGTGCCCCAAAATAATAAGTCCTCCCCAAAAATAAGACCAACACTTATTTCAGGGTTCAAAAAAAAATATAAGATAGGGTCTTATTTTCAGGGAAACACAGTAATATTAATTTCCAGGTGAAAGAGGGAGACTAAAAATGTATCATTACAGATAAGTCCTCAATTTATAAAAGTAATTGGGACTGGAATTTCCATCATTTAATGAAAATGATTCAAGGCGGTCCCCTTTATGAAGTTTATAAATAACTCATGTCCAACACTCCTATTTCCCCCACAACAATCACCCTGTGAGGCTAGTTGGGCTGAGAATGACTGGCCCAAAGTCATCCAGATGGCTTTCATGCCTAAGGCAGGACTGGAACTCACAATCTCCTGCTTTCCAGCCTGGTGTCTTAATCATTAGACCAAACTGGTTTTTTTAATCTCCTGTTAGAAAACATCTCACTTTCCCTTTTGTTTGCAAATCGATGGTTTTCTTTTCCTGTCCAGGACTTACCAGTTCGAACTGAGATTTTTTGTGCTATCATTCTTCCTCCAATCACCGCTAGGCCTGTACACAAACTATGCCCAAGTGTTCCACCCACAGCCACACCGTAGGGGTCCTGTGTCAAAAATGGGAAACATTTCAGTGCTATTTGAAAAGCTACAGCTCTTTTACTGCAGTTGCTTACAAAGGAGCCACTAATACTTTCAAAGGCCGCAAACAGATAAAAACACACAGAGAATGTACTGTCAGCCACATCCAGCCTTCGTTCATGACCAGAGAGAATTCACTAGAATGTATTTCCTGGGATAACAGAAAGTATCACAATCACTTTAAAAGAATGAAAAGACTAGAAACAAAAGGTGCTTTTCCTACTCAGTTTAAATACTCACCTCAGCACCAGGAGGAGAACCAATTTTCTCCCCTAATGTAACTTAACCAATTGGACAGAATAAAAGTGCAATGAATTAAAAATGTTAAACCAAAAAAAAAAATGCAACTAATTACAATGCAGGACTTGTATTTCCAGGTCTTTAAAGGTTACTATATAAGCTGAATTACAGTTGCTCCTATGACTCATTTGTCGCCGTGCTGTGCCTAGCAACTTCCACGGAAGCAACAATTTAACATACATAACATTAAATCAAAGCCACATGGGTCTCAAAAGCACTCTTGCGACTGCAGGTCCCATCGCTTCTCCGCACAGAGATAAGCCAGATAATGTCCTTTCTCAGATACATCAACTCTACTGAGTGCATCTCACGGAGTATGCATTGCAACTGTGCCTTTTAAATTGGAAAGATCCCAAGGGAAGGTGGATTTATTACGCTGCTTAAGGCTCAAATCGTAATATTAATCTACCTATACCTAATTAGATCCTGAGCATTTTGCTCTGTAACTTCTGATCGTGTGCATTTCTCGTACAGTTGACTCACCTCTCTTGCTGCCAGGACAATGGTGGTCAATTGGGAGCGATCGCCCCATTCAGCTAGGAACGTTAAAGTGAATGCTTGCAAAAAAATTGGAGAAATAAAATGCAGACATTTCTTCTGAGGTATTGCAGGGCCTGTACCCGCTTCCATATCTCCAGGGCCATTTAAGAGTTTCATTCTCTGGAGCTAGGAGAAGAGAAGAAGCAGCTGTTAGAATACTTGGGGAAGCACAGTCAGATCCAAAGAGTCAACACCAGCGATAGAGAAGCAATGATCAGCTTTACAATGTAAATCTACACAATGTACCAATGTAAATAGATGCAAACAATTAAATAATTAATACTTCATCATAAGAGTGATGAGTGTGGAAATCAAGACAGTTGCTGCAACTAATCATTGCCTAAAGTTTTTGCTGGCTATAAAGATTTCTCCCTTTACAATCAATCCTTGGCTGGAAACAGAATATTCAATGAATATAAAGGAATGGGTAATCTGATTTTAAAATGGAATGGCAATCATAGACTACAATCCTGATTTCCGAAATAATCACAAATGGAAACAATTCTGATACTGAAGTGTTACAATATTATACTGATAATATATCATATCAATTCTTATGGTCATAGACTGGCATATATTGGCAATAAAAATACCAACAAAAATGTCCAGAAATGGATGTCTTAATAAGACTGATCCACTGCTAATTTTGGACATCCATCCATGTAATCCTATGAGGAACAATTTGTGAGTCTCTTGAAATTATCTAACTACAGGATTCAATAGCTCCTAGCACTAGTCAAGATACTAGGGTACATGGAGTTGTAACTCAGTGGCATCTGGTAATTCATTTCCCCTCCCTAATTTAGTGATCTTATGCAGCAATTTGGATTCAAGGGAGAAAAAGTTATTCCAAAAGTGCAAGGAAGCAAGAATTCCATATTTGGGTAGGGATTTGTTTTTTTTTCCTGGACCAACACGCCACAAGTGGTAGTGATTGGTGCCCTTTGATTCACCTTTCCTTCTTCAGTCTGGATCTTTGCACAGCCTTCATATCATTAAGTACTCAATAGGTACTTGTTAAGAATATCACTTAAGAAGTACTAATCAAATACCAACCTAATAGTTTCTAAACAAGCATGCTGGCTTTGAGAATTCTGAGGGATGCGGGACATAGAGAATTTTTTTTAGAATTGTTTAAAGTAATAGAAGAATTTAAAGAAGGACATGTCATTTTAGGTGGAAATTTTAATATGGTTATGAATAATAGATTGGACAGGACCAATCCCACAAGTGCTGAAAGGAGGAATAATATCACCATTTTAAATAAATTAATAAAAGAAAAAGATTATGTGGATGGGTGGCATTTTCTTAAAGGTGGGGAGCCCGGTTTCACATATTATTCCCCAACCTGTAAATCCTATTCTAGAATTGATTATTTTTTCGTTTCTAGGGATATGGCAACTAAGTTGTGTAAAATGGAAGTGGGAGTAATTCAAGTAACAGATCATGCGGTGGTTAGTTTAGACTTTATGGTAAAAAAAGACTATAGAGAAGCGGTTAGATGGAAGATGACTACAAGGATTCTTAAAAATGAGAAAGTGGTTGAGAAAATGCAAAAGGAGATATCAGAATTGTGGGAAATTAATGAAAAAGGAGAAATAGCAACGAGAATGGTGTGGGACACCATGAAGGCGGTGACACGGGGAATATATATTAGGGAAGCCTGTAGTGTTAAAAAGCAAGAAACTGCATTGCGGGAAAAATTAGAGGAACAGATTAAGAAATTGGAAAAAGAGTACTGGCATACAAGAAATAAACAGAAATTAATAGAATTACAAGCTAAGAAAAAAGAATTAGAGAATAAAAATTTAGAGGAAGTTCAGAATAATTTAATATACATGAAAAGAGAATTTTTTGAAAATAGCAATAAAAATTCTAAGATGCTTGCCAGGCTCACACAAAAGGAGAAAGCTAAAAATTCAATAGGTATAGTGAAAGATAAATTGGGGAATTATTGTAGTACAATGAAAGGAAAGTTAAAAATATTCCAGGAATTTTATCAAGAGTTGTACAAGGGTAAGGAGGTTAAGAAGGATAGAATGGAAGCTTATATTGGGAAATATATAAAAAGGGGTGTGGAAAGGGAGCATAAAGAATTAATGGAAAGGAGTATATCGCAAAGGGAAATTGCAGAAGTAATTGAAAGTTTAAAGGTGGGTAAATCACCTGGGATAGACGGATTAGGAACAGAATTCTATAAAACATTTAAAACATTATTAGTACCAAAATTATTAAAGCTGTATAATGCAATATTAGAAGGGGAAAAGATTCCAGAATCATGGGAGCAGTCGTTAATAATATTAATACTTAAACCAGATAAGGATCCGACGCTCCCTGACTCGTACAGACCAATATCATTAATAAATCAAGACGCAAAAAATTTTTCAACTATTTTAGCAAGAAGAATGAATAATTTTATAGGTAATTATATAAGGGAAGATCAATGTGGATTTGTAATGGGCCGTCAGATGCATAATTTGGTTGGAAGAGTGTTAAATGTAATTCACGAGATCAAAAATCTAAAGCTTAAAGCGGGGATATTAGCGTTAGATATCTTTAAGGCCTTTGATTGTGTGAGCTGGCAAGCATTAAAGATGGTAATAGACAGAATGGGGTTTGGAAATAAATTTAAAGGTGTAATAGATCAATTATATTCTCGGAACTCTGCCTTAGTGGTAGTGAATGATGGAGTTACAGACAAGATACGACTCACCAGAGGAACAAGGCAAGGGTGCCCACTCTCACCTGTCCTATTTGTATTGGTTATGGAACTATAACCAATACAAATAAATATAACCAATACTATATTGCTGAGCACATTGTAAGCCGCCCTGAGTCTTCGGAGAAGGGCGGCATATAAATCAAATTAAAAAACAAACAAACAAACAAAAAAAAAACTATTGGCCAATGCATTAAGAGATGACGGGGAGATAGAAGGGATAGGTAAAATAAAATTAAATATGTTTGCTGATGATACATTATTAACAGTTAAGAATATAATGGATAAGATGGAAAGAACTGGATGGCATCTAAAAGAATTTGAAGAAATAACTGGATTAAGAATAATTTGGTCAAAATCTGAGTTGATGCTGTTTAAGTACACTAAAAGGGAAGAGAAGGATTGGGAAGGGAAGCAAAGCGAAATGATAATTAAAGATCATATTAAATACCTGGGAGTTAGAATTACAAAAAATTTGGAGAAGTTAGAAAAGGAAAATCTAGGCAGCTTAAAGAAGGAGATTTTGGAAAGTTTGAATAAATATAAAAGGTTGAATTTATCATGGTTTGGAAGAATTGCCTTAGTAAAAATGAAGATTTTAGCAAAGATCAATTTTGCTTTTAGGATGCTACCAATAAAAATATCAGAATTAGAGTTAAAGAGTTGGCAGAATATACTGAACAACTATTGTAGCGGGAATAAGAAAGCGAGGATAAATAAAAATAAGTGGTATCTAAGCCAAAAAAAGGGGGTTTAGGACTGCCAAATATTAAATTATATTATGTCGCTAACAGGCTTAGACATGTTATAGAGGCAATTTTAGGAATAGGGGAATTGGAATGGTTGGAAGATAAATCTAAAATTAAAACCAAATTAGAATGGAAGTTGGAAAATATATTTTTTATGGAAGGTGGAAAGAAATGGGCTGAGAGCATAAGCAATCCTCTCCTGAATTTTCATTGGGAAATTTGGAGTAAATATAAAGGGAGGTTGCTTCCGAAGAACTCTCCATTATCACCGGTAGTAATTTTGGAAAAGTTTCCAGGGAATTTGAAGAATAAAGTGAATGAAATTTTAAAAGAGAAAAATAAAATGAAATTAAGGGAATGGTTAGGAGGAATGAGGACACGTGGGGAATTGGAAGAGGTTCTAGGAAGAAAATGGTTGTCTTGGTTAAATTATAGCCAAGTGGAACAATGGACTAAAAATTGGATAAGAGAAAATGGAGAGTGTAGAGAGTTAATGAGGTTTGAGGAATTAATTGAAAAAAATCAAACTATAAAGGAAGAAAATAAAGGGATAAAAGGCTTAATGAGCGGAATCTATAAAATATTGTTGGAGGAAGAGGAGAGGGGAAATTTAGGAAAGATGGTATGGGAAACCGATTTGAAGATACAAATAGGGCAACAGAGTTGGGACAGAATTTGGCAACAAAGAGTGTTGAGAAATATGTCAGTAAGAATAAAAGAGAATTACTACAAAATGGTATGGAGGTGGTACTTAACTCCGGTTAGATTAAGCAATATGAATCAGCACTATTCAGATAACTGTTGGAGAGGTTGTGGGGAAAAAGGAACGTATTTACATATGTGGTGGGATTGTAAATTTGTGCAAAAATTGTGGAAAATGGTGTTTAAGGAGATAGAAGAAATTGTAGGAATAAAGGTAGAAGAGGCACCAAAGGTAGCATTACTCTCACTATTGGAAGATATAAAATGTAAAAAAGAGACTAAAGAATTGATAATAAATTTGTTGACTGCAGCAAGGTTAATGATTTCTAGGAACTGGAAGACACAAGGTGTTTATAGTTTGGAAGAATGGTATAAGGAAGTATGGGATATTGCCATAAATGATAAATTGACTTGCAATATTAAAGTAAGGAGGGGCATAATGAAGGTAAATGAATTCAATGGAATCTGGAAACAGTTCCTAATATATATGTTTTCTGGAGGAAGAGGGATACCACCACCAGAAGAAGCTTTAAGATTCTGGAAGCAGGAATGATCCCGAGGGGTGTGGGAGCACTCGTTGATTGTTTGTATTGTGTATATTGTTATATATTATATATTATGATTCATGTATGTTATGTATGTTAATTTCTTTATATATATATATATATATATATATATATATATATATATATGTGTGTGTGTGTGTGTGTGTGTGTGTGTGTGTGTGTGTGTGTGTGTGTTAATAATAAAAAAATATGGAAAAAAAAAAAGAATTCTGGGGGTTCAAGTCCACACATCTTAAAAATGGCCAAGGTCGAGAAACACTGTTATAAACCTTAACTTACTTCTTCATCTTTCTTTTTGAGTTCTGCTTGGACTTCCTCTAGTTCTTCCTGACCTTCATCTGCGCTCATCTTCATGCCTTCTCGAAGCATTCGGATACCAAAAATTGCAAAGAGTGCTGTTGACACGTAGTAGGTATATATTCTAGGAATTACTGTGGTAGCGTAACCAAATAAAACTACAAACAGAAAAGCAAATAGTTTAGGCTTTCCATGAAGCAGAGTAGGTTTATTTCTACTCTCTAAGCACTTTTTTAAAAAATTCAGGAAGTCCTGTATTTATTAATTAATCCCATGGAATTATATTATATACAATATTATTTCCCAAATTATACAGTAATACAACATTAATATACAATATTCCCACATTTCTACCTAGCTGAAATCCAGATAAAGTTTTCAAGAGAAAAGTCAGTTTATAAAAATCAACACGAATACAGCTCTTTACAGTAGCCAAAATATCCCTACATGATATTTTGCAGTAATTCTAATTTACAACTCCTCTATGAATAGGGCATAGAAAGTGTAATTTCTTTTATTGCATAAAATTTTTAGATTGATTAAATGATACAGACTTTAAGAGACTTAACAAGTAAAAAGAAAACAATTAAAGCTAATATAAAAAACCCGAAAACCAAATGGCTACTCAAAATCTTCCTTCAACACCGAAAACTATGGCCTCTAGTGCCTTCCTATTGTCAGAAGGGCTCCCCTAAAGAAGTGCAAAATATTTCAAATTCAAAACAAGTGTGTTCCAATGCTTCCCATAATGTCAGAATGGCACTGGGCCACTTCTGATAAAATGGAACCACCTAGTTTAAACTGGACATTTCCACAACTGAAATGTTTCACAGATCCCTTATTCTCTCCCGCATACAGTACATACACCACGCTTTCACTATGTTCCAGGGAATAGAAGACAAAAGCACTAACCAGATAGACACGTCATCAGCCCTAAGGCCAGCATAGCACCAGCCAGCACTGTTAAGCGATTGTAACGCATTGCCATAATAGCAGCAATGAAGAAGGTTTTATCGCCCAGTTCTGAAACAATGATGACAGAAATCGCAGCCACGAATGCATGGATAAATCCTAGGTTAGTTTTGTCTGAAGACTCTTCGCTAACAGAATGGACGGGAACAACGAGGGTAGGTCCTTTCTGAAAAAAATAATAATATGTTTTTTATTCCAAGTTTTAAGGAAATCAGTTCCTTATCATGCCAACACATAAGAAAAATGTAATCCATTGGATAGTATGTAAAAGGGCCCTTACAAATTCTTTACTTACCTTATGAATTAGCCAAGAAGTTTAAGTGCCAAAATAAACCACCCAGTTCAACTTATCTGGGGATCGAGACATCTGAGAGTATATACAATATTTCCTTAAAGTACTCATATTTTCTGTATATATTCATGTAAGTACACACGTAGGTAAGCAGAACGTCGAAGTACCATATGGGTACTTTTTATTTTATTTTATTTATTGGATTTATATGCCACCCATCTCATCTGGAGGCAGCTTACAAACATGAAAATCAGAAACACTAAAAAGATAAGACTGTAATAATCATAGTTAAAATTTAGATTAGAAAATAGTTTATCATTTAAAGATTAAAAGGAGGGAGTACAAAGATCTCAGGGGAAGGTCGGGTCGCCTCTCAATCTACTAAGCACATGAGAATGATACCCCCCCCCCCCGTTGGTGCCCCAGGCCTGCTGCCAGCACCAGGTCTCCAAGCCCTTATGCAAGATCAGGAGGGTCAATGCAGATCTATCCTCAGAGGATATGTTCCAAAGGGCAGTGTTGTGGTCCGTCAGCGGCCTGTGCAGATTGTAGCTGATTCCAACAATGAGGAGGCTGGTGTGGTGCTGCGCCAGCAGCCTGTGAGGCTGGCGCTCGAGTCGGACAGTGAAGAGGCTGGAGAAGATGTGCTGCCAGAGGTGGGGATTCAGCCAGGGCCTTCAGAACCTCCAGAAGCGCATTTAACTGAAGAGGAAGAAGAGGAGGAGCCTCTTCTCAATGTACGGGCACGCAGAGCTGCCAAAAGGCAGGAGTGGCTCCTCAGGAGGAGGTCTCTTCGAGAGTAAGGCTTGGGGCTAATTGGCCACTCCCTTAGCCTATTTAAGAAGGAACACCGCTTGCAACAAGCTGTAGAGAACAACTTTAGTTCACTCTCCTTCGTGTTTACAAAACTGCTTCTGGCTTTCTGCCAACTCTAGTAAGACTGTGATTACCTTATCTTAGAATTCTGGTAGGTTGTTAAGACAATTCATTAACAGCCTTTGAATGATAAAGACTAAGTTATTTTGAGTAAATAAGCTTTGTATAGAGTTTGTGTGTGCTGCGTTCTTTGGGGTCCGTAGCTGGGGCAGAACAGGCAGGGGCCATAGCAGAGAAGGCTCTTCGCCTGCCAGAATTCCTCAGCTGAACGGGTCCTTAGCATGCCCGCTCTGCCAGCAGAGGTGGGATTAGCCAATCTCAATGAGGTGACATGGTTCCTCCAGTAGTTTAGACCCATGTCATGCAAGGCTTTAAAGATAATAACCAACACCTTGAATTGAACTCAGAAGTAAACCAGCAGCCAATTTAGCTCATGGAGCAGCGGTGAAATTTGTGGCCCCCAAGACCTGCTCACGTTGCTACTTTCTGCACCAGCTGTAGCTTCCGAATACGCTTTAAGGGTAGCCCCATGTAAGGTGGCACATTTTTCATGGTATTTTTGTTAAAAATTTGAGGGTCGCCTTATCGGTGGATGAGTTTATATGAAAGTATATGCAACATTCGTTAGCTTTAAATTTAGAAGTGTTTTTATTATAAACCTGAAGTTGGTATCAACTCTTAAGAAACCATAAATTTAAGAGTATTTCTTACTATATTGTTTTGAATATTCCTTAAGACTTCCTTAAGCACAAACCTGTGTGCTGCCCAAAGTCACCAAGAGGCAGGCAGCATACAAATTTAATATATCATAAAACAATCATCTCATGTTCACCTATTCTCCTTGGTATTTAATATAAATTGTTTCATCAAGGTTTTTATTTATCCCTGCTGAAACAAAAGTACAAAAATGATCTGAACTTTAGATGCTGACTCATTGGCATTCTATTTTTCATATTTTATTGTTATGGCACTTTACCCGTAGCTGCAATTTATCTGCATGTCTTCAACAATAAATTGTAGTCACTCCCAACAAATTTCTACTTATCTTTAATTCATCATACTAACAATTATTTAGGAGGCATATTTGAAGGAATCAACCACAGTCTTGACAAAAAAAATACAGAAAGCAGATACAATAGTTCTTTTCAAGTACTTGAATATACGTCACACAGAATTTCTCCGAAATCTACTATTGTCCCAAAATATAGGACTTAGAGTAATAGAAAAGCAACTCTAATGCAAAGTCATATCTAAACTGTCACCAGAACTGAGATCAATATAATACTATTCTTCTATCTGCTGACCTTCTAAATCAGAGTTACGGTATTTTATTACCTCACTATTTAAAGGTAGTATATACAGGTAGTCCTTGACTTTTGACCACAACTGAGTCCAAAATTTCCATTGCTAAACAAGACAGTTGTTAAGTGAGTGTTGTCCACTTTTATGACTTTTCTTGGCATAGCTATTAAATAAAGCAATGCCGTTGTTGTTGAGTTAGTATCATGGTTGTTAAGTGAATCTGGCTTTCCCCATTGACTTTGCTTGTCAGGTTGCAAAAGTTGATAACATAACCTCAGGACACTGAAAACATCATAAATACATGCCAGTTGAAAAACCTCTGAATTTTGATAACATGATGATGGGGAGGATGCCGCAATGGTCGTAAGAGTGAAAGACAGTTACAAGTCACTTTTTTCAGTGCCACTTTAATTTTGAACAGCCACTAAACAAATGGTTTTAAGTCAAGGATTACCTACATGTTCTTTTTGAATACATTTGCTAAATACATATCCTAACACAGAGATTAAAATACAACTGTATTTTTAGAATATTATTCTAGAAAATACTATTCTATTTCTATTTCTAATACTACCCTGTTTTCCCGAAAATAAGACATCCCCTGATAATAAGCCCAATCAGGCTTTTGAGCACATGCACTAAAATAAGCCTCCCCTTGAAAATAAGCCCTCCCCAAAAATATTTAAATGCAAAGCTGGAAATCAGGTAAGATGGAAAGAGGAGTCCCATCTTGCTCCATGGACCCCAAAATAATAAGACCTCCCCGAAAATAAGGCCTTATTTCGGGGTTCAACAAAATATAAGACAAGATCTTATTTTCAGAGAAACATGGTATTCTAGAAATAGAATTCTAAGAAAAGTGAAGTAGCTACAAGTTCTATTTTTAAATAAGTGAAATTACCAAATAATAGCAAGAGTGTTTTTTTTTTTAAAAAGTGATTTTATAGTCCCAGCATAGTTTTGTCTTCACAAATGAAATATGAATTGAAGTTTCATGCACTTTCATCTACAAGCTAGTGTTTCATGATATTCCAAATCTTCACCTTTACTGATTGTTGACAAGCTGAGTGTTTTTCTTTTATTACAAATATAATTATATTGTCGTAGATCACAAAGAAAGCTAGTTCTTATTTGTCTCAAATCTTTCCAACCAGGTGCTATAGCAGTTCAGGAAGAAAAGCTGATTTTATCATGCAAATACATCCAACATGTTTCAACCTGTCTATTCTTTGTCAACATTCAGTAAAGGTGAAGATTTGCCATATCATGAAACACTAGCTTGTAGATGAAAGTGCATGAAACTTTGATTCACATTTTATTTCTGAAGACAAAACTATCCTGGGACTATAAAATCAGTACTTTTTAAAAAAGACACTCGTTATTATTTGATAATCAGCATACTACTAAAACTCTGAGTCTTGTAACCTTTAACTAGGCAAAATAGTCCATTATAGGGCAAAACTTTTCCAACCAAAATACCTTGAATGGCCTAACTTACAGAATGTGTCCAAATTTTGGCACCCATGACTCCCATGGAATTGAAATTTGGCAAATTTTATAAAACTGCTTATAACGTAAGAATTATAAAGTATTTTATGACAAAACAAAATGTGATAAAACATTTTCTATGGTCAATTCCTGATGTTTGTGTTATACATTTTATAATTTATAGCAAGGGCATATGAGGGCAGTAACCTTTTTATAGTTTAGAACATCTCATGAAATCTGATTAAACAATGCATGAATGAACAGAAACGTTTTCTATCTGACCATGATTACAAAGTTGTGTTCCAAGAACTGCTGAGCAGTCAACACTATGTAGGCATTATGGCAAGATACTTAATTCAGCACAACTGAAAGAATTAAGAAATTGATACATAACAGTAAATTTAAAGTCTGTTTAGAAAAACAATTACATATATGGGTTAAACCAATGGGCTGCATATTCATAAAATGACAAATCATTCTCATTTCACACTTGGAAACTATCATGCAAGTTCAGGACTTTCTCACAGTAACTTGAAAAAAAAAACATTGCTGTAACACAATTTGAAGTGTCATTATCCAATTCCAACAATCAAATCAAATTGCTGAAATATATTTACTTTTCAAAACCTTGAAAAGACCTCCTGAAAGGTCACTATGATCTGTAACATGTGAGCTAATTGATTGTGCAATTTGGCAACATCACTATTTCAAAATCAACCGAATTAAACGAATAGCCATTAAGTTACATAATAGACAGCGTAACTGTTCCGAGCGAGACTATATCACTTTCTTCCAATAGACAAAGTGTAAAATAAATTTAAGTAATTACTAATACTGCTGTTGTCTGCAGCTCGTCAATAGCACATTAGTCAGATGAGGATATAAAATGAGCTAAGCATGTGTCATATGGATAAAGAAGGGAGCATACAGGTCAGGAAAGCCGAGGCATTTTAATAAAATGCTTTTAGTTGGATACTCTACCAGTCTTCTGATTTTATCCCCCCTTCTGAGATCCAACAGGATTCTCTTCTTTGCAGTGTCCTACGATTTCTGTGAGATGAGGCATTTAAGAAAACGAAATGTGGGCATTACAGGTGGGTAGTCCTCGATGGAGCCCAAAATTGTGGTTGCTAAGCGAGAGATTTGTTAAGTGAGTTTTGCCCCATTCAATGATCTTTCTTGCCACAGTTGTTAATCATGGCAGCTGTTAAGTTACTAAAACAGTTGTTAAATGAATCTGGCTTCCCCATTAACTCTGCTTTTCAGAAGATTGCAAAAAGATCAATGACCCTGGGACACTGCAACCATCATAAATACGAGTCAGTTGCCAAGCAGCCGAATTTTGTGTGTGTGTGTGTGTGTGTGTGTACTTCCCCCCCCCAAAATAAGACATCCCCTGATAATAAGCCCAATCGGGCTTTTGAGCGCATAGCAATAAGGCCAAGCGCTTATTTCAGGGTTCAAAAAAATATAATATAGGGTCTTACTTTCGGGGAAACATGGTATGTGTATGTGTGTGTATATATCTTACACGGGAGAAGACCCAAATACACTAAGACTTGCATACCTGTACCCGTGAAAATCTACGAAAATACATACATATATACATACACACACACACACACACATATATATGTAGATGTAGATATATGTATATACATATGTATGTGCGTGTATATATATATATGTATATATATGCGTGTATGTATGCATATATATATATATATATATATGTCTATATATGTCTATGTAAGTTTTATATGTATGCATATATATGTGTGTGTGTGTATATATATATGTGTATGTATGTATGTGTATATATATATATATGTGTGTGTGTGTATGTATGCATATATATGTGTGTGTGGGTGTATGTATGTGTGTGTGTGTGTGTATATATATAATCACACACACATACACACGGGAGTCCTCAATTTACGACCAAAATTAATGGTGTTGAGACAGTTGTTAAGTGAGTTTTGTCCTTTTGCGACGTTTGTCTATGGATGAATCCAATCTGCTTCTCCCATCCCACTTTTCAACCGGCCACGTTTCGCCTCAGTGACGGAGACTTGAAGGGCCGTTTGAGCAGGAAAGGAAAGGAGAAGCGCCGGAGAAGCCGGGGCTTTCCGCACCCTTCCTTCCCCGAAGTCGGCCGGAGCTTTCGGGGACGAGAGTAGTCCAGCCCCGTCCGCCTCCGCCTCCCTCAACTCACCTCAGCCCGGAGGAGGTCCGGCCCTTGCACCGCCGGCTGCTGGTGAGGCGCCGGCGCCGGCTTCTGCTGCTCCTGGTGAGGCGGGAAGTCTCGCTCGCGGTTGACTTCTTGCTCGGGGGCCGCCAAGGCCGCGGCCAGCAGCAGCAGCAGCAGCAGCAGCAGCGGCCATAACCGCGGGACCCCCGCCATTTCTGTCCCCGAGCCCGGCCCGTTTTCCCCTCAGTCTCGGAAAGAACGGCCGCCACAGGCGGAAGTGAGTGGAAGCCGCCCCGCCGCCATGGCCGCTTCCTCAGAGGCCGATCGTGCAACCCAACCCAACCGCTCTCGTCTCGTCTTGCCGTCACTCAACGACGTCCCGCCTTCCGCCGCCGATTCCCTTTGTCTGATTGGACAACTCCCCGCTCGGCCCTGGGATTGGCGTCAGAGAATAGGAACCATCATGCTAGGTTGTCCCGTCTCTTCGAAGAGGAGGGAGTGAACAGGCTGAGGGGGGACAGAGCGAGCCAGCCAGCCAGCCAGCCAATCACGTGCGTCACGTGATGCAGTTCTGGCAGGTAGAAACTCCTCCCACTTGTGGTTTGCTGGCAGGGGAAGAGATTAAAAAGTGGACACGTTTTGGAATCTGCAATAATTTGGAAATGCAACAATTAATGCCCAAAATCATAGATTTTTGGGGTTAATCTCTCAGATTAGTGCAGTCTCCTGCAGGTAGGAATCAATTGCTAATTTAAAGGGCAGTTCAATGCAAAAGTTGCCTGGTCTTCTCCCCTTATAGGTTTTGTTCCTCTTTATAGCAAACAAAGTAAATCAGCAACCCAGGTGAAATAATATTAGGTTCTTTTTTTAGTACTTCCAATCATTAATCTAGCTTTAATTTTATTTATTTATTTTATTTTATTGCAATTTATATGCCGCCCTTCTCCCGAAGGACTCAGGGCGGCTTACAAGATAAAAATTCAACAATATGAATTCAATATAAATTAAAATCCAATTAAAATTAATTAAAATTATTACAATAATTTAATGTTAATACATAAGTGTAGCGGTTAGTACTTGCAAACAGGTGTACCTAACTACCTTTTCAAACTTTTTTTTAACAATTAAAGAAATGGAATCTTACTAGCAATTGGTACAATTTTGAAAACCTGAAGCGTTTTGAAAATATTGACATAATGTAAAGAAATACATTCACCTTGAGCAGTTTTGGTAAACGTTTAGAGCGGTGGTGAAATCCAATTTTTTTTACTACCGGTTCTGTGGGCGTGGCTTGGTGGGTGTGGCTTGGTGGGCGTGGCAGGGGAAGGATACTGCAAAATCCCCATTCCCTCCCCACTCCTGGGGGAAGGATATTGCAAAATCCCCATTCCCACCCCACTCTGGGACCAGCCAGAGGTGGTATTTGCCAGTTCTCCAAACTACTCAAAATTTCCGCTACCGGTTCTCCGAACTGCTCAAAATTTCCGCTACTGGTTCTCCAGAACCTGTCAGAACCTGCTGGATTTCACCCCTGGTTTAGAGTCAAGCAAATGTATAGCTCTTGAATTAGTGCCCTCTGGTAGTCCTCAATTTACGACCACAATTTGAGCCCAAATTTCTGTTGCTAAGTGAGACATTTGTGACATGAATTTTGCCCCATTTTATGACTTTTTTTTTTGCTAAGTGAATCGCTTTACATGGTTGTAAAGCGAATCTGGATTCCTCATTGACTTTTGCTTGTCAGATAATCGCAAAAGGTTGACTTCAGGACACTGCAAACCGTCATAAATATGAATCAGTCGGACCTGCAGGTAGTATAGATGACACGGATAAAACCAACAGCCTTGTCATTCTGAATGCATGTTCAATGAGTATGCCCAATTCAGCAAATTCATGCAGAGCATGTTAGAGATCTACTATTTATTTATCATATATATATCTCCCTCTACTAGCTTTTGATTTCATGTGTGCAGCTGATGGGAAGTTATTCCACATCCAAGTCTCTTTTCTTTTACAAAGTCAAATTTCTTACATCGTTTGACCTTAACAGCAGTGATAACATTGAACATGGATTTAGCTTGGGGAATGAGACAAATCTTTTGTGTGAGATTTGGAATGGATATCTGCATATTGCAATACCAAGCAGGTTGGCGCAGATAGTTAAAATCTCTCCATACATCTGTACTTACCAATCTTTGCCAAACAATTTAACAGAATCTGTCCTTTTATTTTGCTGGGATTCTGTTGGCTACATCCAGAAGATTGCCAGTGCTAAAAGTGCCTTAAAATCCAGGAGTTGCTTAGAAATCAAATCCTATTATTGGTACCAATATTTAGAAAACATATAGCAAAACCTCCCACAAAGTTTTGCTCCAGGCACCAAACTACATTCAGGTAGTTACGATAGTTCATTTACTGACCGTTCAAAGTTACAACAGCACGGAAAAAAGTGACTTATGACCATTGCAGCATCTCATGGTTGTGTGATCAAAATTCAGATGCTTAGCAACTGACTCATATTTATGACGGTTACAGTATTCCGGGAGTCATGTGATCTCATTTTACAAACTTTATTTATTTATTTATTTATTTATTTATTTATTTATTTAGTCGAGTACATATTAGATAATATATATAAGTATAAGCATGAATTGAATACATAAAATGAATACAATTAAAGGGAACATTAGGGCAGGGATGGTAGGCACGCTGGTGCTCTTATTTATCCCGCTTACAGACCTCTTAGGAATGGGGTGAGGTCAACAGTAGACAGTTTTAGGTTAAAGTTTTGGGGGTTTGGGGATTTTTTGGGGTTTTGCTGACAAGCAAAGTCAATGGGGAAGCTGGGTTCACTTAACAACCTTGTTACTAACTTAATACCTGCAATGATTCACTTAACAAATGTGGTAAAGTGGAGCAAAATCCACTTAACAAATGTCTCACTTAGCAACAGAAATTCTGGGCTCAGTTTTGGTCATAAATTGAGGACTACCTGCAATATAAAATCACAGCTATTCCTATACCCAAGTGGCCGTACATGAACAAAGTTTTTGTGCCTTAGCCCTATTTTAGCAAACGAGAGCTGCAGTATTTGGTTATCAAACATCTTGAAGATTTTTCCTTTCCTTTCCTTTCCTTTCCTTTCCTTTCCTTTCCTTCCTTCCTTCCTCTTCCTTTCCTTCTGAACTCTTTATTTCCCTTATGCAATTATCCCTTATGCAATTAATTATCCCTTATCCCTTAAGCATCTTTGAGGGAAGAGAGACACAAACAACGAAATATGCATTGTGCATATGCATTGTACACAATATTGTGACAAACCACAGGACCAGCATATTTGTGTGTCATATGAATGATTGGGATTTGTGTCATGACATAACAGGGATCTTGGAAGTCATCAGACCATCCCAATCCAAAAACTGTCCAACCTTTGCTTGAAAAACTCCAGTAATGGAGCACATATGATTGTTCTCATGGTCATAAAATTATGCATTTTCATTTTGGATTTCTCTCTGTAAGCTTCCACCCCTTGTTGACCTACCCACAGGCACTACAGAGAATACTTCTGGGTCTGGTCCTCTGTGACAGATGCAAAATTTTCATTGCCAAGTATTTTAGGCACCTTGTTGGTTCCCATTGTATCTGTGAAAGACAGTTTATATTGATAATTTCCATCAAATCTCCCCTCCAGATGGGCTGGGTGATGCTTCCAGGATTCGCAGCTAGCTTCAGGTCAATAAATTTGGGTGGGCCTTTGTTTGAAGAAGCCTGGCATTTCTACACAGACAGAAATATTGCAATTGATAGTTTATAAAGTTGAATTTTCTATCGCAGGACTTATGCTCTGGACTTATCTGGAAGTAATTTGCCATTTCTTTCTTCTAAATTGCTAGCTTGTTTTTTTTTTTTTTTTTTTAACAATCCTGGAATTATCTAGTAGTTTCTTATGCAAATACTAGACTGGTTCAGCCCTGCATTTTTTTTGAAATCATCCAAGTTTAGCATTTGCATATTTCTCAACACACAGGTATAACACATGGCAACTGCCAGTCAAGTTTTAATTTTCATTTCATGTATGCAAACAATGAAATAAAAATAAATAATAATTGAATAAGAAATTGAAATGAGAATAAAGATAATATGGAAATCCGGGGCTGCTCAAATACCACTTTAGATTGAACTGAAAAGGGAAACAACAGGAGAGAGGGGAAGGAGTAGAGAGAGAGAAAGGGAGAAGAGAGGAGAGGAGAGAAGAGGAGAAAGAAGAAAGGGAAAAGGAGAGGAAGAAAAGGGAGGGGAAAGAGGGGTAAAGGAGAAGGTTAGAAGGGGGGAAGAAGAGAGGAGTGGGGGAAGGGAAGGGGAAGTAGGAAAGAGAAGGAGAGGAAGAACGAAGGAAGTAGGAGAAAGGAAGGAAGAGAAGGGGAGGAGAAGAAGAAAAGGTTGGAGTAAAGGTAAAGGGTAAAAGAGCAGCCCCGAAAAAGTAAAAATTAAAAATGAAAGTTAAAAGAAAAGATGAATGAAAAATGATGGAAATGACTATACGTGTATATGTATTTATGTAAAATAAAAATAAAAACTTTATTAAAAAAAATAATTTTCATTTCATCATTCATGCGGACCTTGTATGAATCTGATTAAAAAATATAGTTTCTTTTGTTCTATTCTATACTGATCCAAAGCAAAAAAATTGTGCAAAGAAACCCCCCACCCCATCCATCGGTATCTATTAATTAAAAGTGCATTCCTTTGCTGTTTACTCAGAAGTAAGTCATACAGTTAGTGAGGCACTTTGTCAAACAAGCATTATATAGTGTAATTGCCTATGGCTATGATCAGCGGTAGGGTTGCGGTGGCTCAGTGGCTAAGACGCTGAGCTTGTCAATCGAAAGGTTGGCAGTTCAGCGGTTCGAATCCCTAGTCCCACATAATGGGGTGAGCTCCCGTTACTTGTTCCAGCTTCTGCCAACCTAGCAGTTCGAAAGCACGTAAAAAATGCAAGTAGAAAAATAGGGACCACCTTTGGTGGGAAGGTAACAGCGTTCCGTGCGCCTTTGGCATTGAGTTATCCTGGCCACATGACCACGGAGACGTCTTCGGACAGTGCTGGCTGTTCGGCTTTGAAACAGAGATGAGCACTGCCCCCTAGAGTCGGGAACGACTAGCACATATGTGCAAGGGGAACCTTTACCTTTACCTATGATCAGCAGTGGGTTTCACATATTCTTGCCACTCGTCCACCCTGTGCGCACGCCTTCTGCGCCCGGCTTTGAAACATGGCTAAATAGGACAGCATTATGTCTGGGCGGGTGGCAGTCGCCGCTACCAGTTCGCCTGAACTGGTCTGAATCAGCTGAATACCACCTCTGGCTATTATCTTATTTTTGGGAGCTTCTCTTTGGGATAAGACATATTAAACTCAATTGAACTTTCTTCTATAAGTAGATTACATAAAATTGTTCTGGTTATCACAATAGAACAGAGGCATGTTTTCATACACACAGCTGTGTGTAATAAATGACCTACAGAATGATCAGCAACAATTCAATTTCAGCAAAAAGAAAAAAAAAGTTGGTAATAATCACTTCATCCCAGAAAAGTTCAAGATCTTTAATTGCTGCAAATGTGGAATCATACTCCATTTAATATAAATAATTTAAAAAATAAAAGGTATATATGCTTTCCGATATTTTGGATAGTGCTTAAATTTGTTTAAGTAATATTCGTGGCACAAAACAGCACTTAGTGCCTGGTTAAAAAAGACATATGCCACCACTAGCCACCAAGTTAAGTTATAAAATCCAAAAGTGACAGCCATTGACGTATATATGAGAAATTCTGCAAAATAATGAGGACTGGACACCATTTCAAACCAGTCACCAAAAGGAATGCTGTGATCCAAACTGGAGACCTTTCCTAAAAAAAAAAGAAAAAAAGAAAGAAATAAGTTAGCTGTTGAATTTTGAAAGGTGAGCAGAACTAGTGATGTACTGAATTTTTTGGAGTATAAGATGCACCTTTTCCCCCCAAAAAAGAGGGTGAAAATCTGGGTGCCTTTTATATTCCGAATGTAGCCCTGCCCAGCTTCTCAAACGGAGGTTTCAGAGGCTGAAAAAGCATCAGAAACGAAGCTTCAGAAAAGAAGCCCCCCAAAACAGAGCTTCAGAGGCTTTTTTTCTGAAGCTCTGTTTCGGAGGCTTTCAGAGGCAGGAAATTTTTTTTTTTTCTGAAACAGAGTTTCAGAAGTTTCAGAGGCAGAAAAAAAAAGCAAGGCACAGAGCTCACAACCAAGGAACCTGTTGCTAAAATTCACCTCTGGGAACAGCTGATTGGGGGTATTCCGGGAGGCCGATCCACCTGCCAATCAGCTTTTTTCTTATTTTCCTCCCCAAAAACTAAGGTACGTCTTGTACTCTGGTGCGTCTTATACTCCGAAAAATACGGTAATTAGATAGTGAGAGGGAAAAACGGTCAGACTACAACGTTAATAAATCCATTGGCTCTATTTTGCCCTTTTCCATTACAGTGACTGTAATCTGGTCCAGCGACTTTGTCATTAAGCAAAATAGTTGCTAAGTGAATTTGTGTCTCAAAGAGCAAGAAAGAGAAGCTGTGAAAATCCCTGATTGCTGTTCTGTCATTCAGATAAAGTTCTCTGTACAGTGTCCGGTGCCTGACCTGTTTTTTCTTCTTCTCCTTTTTGAACCCCCACATAGGCCAGAGAGATTGTTTAAAGAGCTCCTTCCTGAAACTGACCAGACCTTAATCAGTTTTGCATTGAAGGCTTTTGTTGTTAGATGCAGGAAATTTGGTCATAAATGCACACTAGTCTGAAATTTTATTTTTTTATCTGCCTTTATTACCGTTTATAAATACCATCACATTTATAAACGATCACTAACCAAGATAGTTGCTAATCAACAAGTGGATACACCGGTATTAGTTTCCACTTGTTGTTTCCACTTGTTTCCAAGACAAAACTAAGTGCTTATTTTGATTGATTTGGAGGATCTTCATCACTTTGATCAATCTGTTTATTATTTTTTTTCAGCAGCCAGTCTTCTCTAACCCATGATTAATGTGAATGATAAGATATCCAGTTTGGCCAAAGAACCTGTTTTCCTGGATTACATGATGTCTTAATGATTATGCCTCTGGGTACATCCAAAATATGTTCCTGTCTCACATGTTACACACTGTGCTTATAAAAAAAAAATTACATTTAAATGTTTTCCCCAAGTAAATATTTTAGCTTCATCTTGCATTCATCTGGCTTCAAACTATGTTCAACATCAAGGGTCACCATCCCAGCTAGTATGGCCCACGAATGAAATTTGCTCTTACTCTTTAGCTATAGTTTAAACCAGGAGTCTCTAACCTTGGCAACTTTAAGACTTGTGGACTTCAACTCCCACGATTCCTCAGCCAGTTGCTGGCTGAGGAATTCTGGGAGTTGAAGTCCACAAGTCTTAAAGTTGCCAAGGTTGGAGACCCCTGGTCTAAATTCCCTAGGCCTGTGTTGCTAATAATGGGTCTTGTTCAAATGGCCTTTGATGTAGACCAGGGGTGTTAAACTCACGTCATCATGGTGGCGTCTCATGTGACGTATTGGGACTTCCCCCCCTTCGCTAAATTGGCTGTGGGCGTGGCCAGGGCATGACACATCCGGCCCGTGGGCCGGGAGTTTGACAGCCATGATGTAAACCAAAATCAGGATGCTGGTGAAAGGTGCCAAAACAGTCCCTCGATCCAAAACATGTGTTTCGACTATCATTTCTCACAATAACTCTCTTCTTTCCGTCTCAATTTAAGTCTCCATCTTGAGAGAAAATGCTAAGAAGGGCAACAAGGCAGGAGGGTTTGGAGTGATTGGGTTCCACATTCCTCCATCACACATATATTTGGTTCCTTACATTGAATCCTCTGCTCTTTTACATACAAGATCAGAATATTTATGCATTGGGGATATGCAGCATTTTTGGATCCCAAGTCGAAAAAGATGGCTTGGATGGAATCAATATGCCTACCATACTTGGAGCCTCCTTAAGAGAAGCTGTGTCTTCTGGGCTCACATGGAACCTACTCAAGTCACAGGAAAATATGGTTTTGACTGAAAAGAAATGCCAACAGAGTACAAGAAAGTGCTTTATGGCAGATATGAGTTCATGGTTGTTGGCATGTTATTAACTCAAGATCAACTTTTCCTGGGATTGGTTGCTACCATACAATCCCAGGATAATAATCAATGTTTTTAAGGCAATACCCACAGGATTCAGTGCAGGGGTGAAATGCTCCCAGTTCGGACCGGATCGCCCGATCCGGTAGCGATGGAGGCGGGTGGTTCAGAGAACCGGTAGCAAAAATCCCTGCCCTCCCTATGCCCAGCTATGCCGCACAATCATCAGAGGCTTTTTTTTTACTTTTAAAAGCATTTTTTTCTACAACCTCTTTGGTCAAAAAATGCTTTTAAAAGTAAAAGAAAAAAGCCTCTGATGATCGCGCGGCCCAGCTGGGATCATCAAAGGCTTTTAAAAGAAAAAAAAAGCCTCTGCCGATCAGGCAACTCAGTTTGGATCATCAGAGCCTTTTGAAACCATTTTTTTTACAACCTCTTCGCCGAAGGGGTTGCCAAAAAAATGGTTTTAAAACTTAAAAAAAAAAAATTGGCCATGCCCACCCAGTCACATTACCCCCCCAAGCCACGCCCACAGAATCGGTAGTAACAAATTTTAGATTTGACCACTGGTTCAGTGTGTAGTTAAACTCACTCCAAAGCACTTTTTTGACTTGACATTGGAAGCACTAACATCCCTAATTAGAATTTAAAGACCTAAGTTGCTTGTTCTGTATGCTTTCTACCTAAATATCACCAATGTTCTTTGAACGATAAACGAAGGATTGCAACAGGGGCTATGCTAATATATTTGACCTGGGGAAGATTAAAAAATGTTGACTGGAGTAGCAATTCTTTTACCTGATTTATCTTTTCGAAGGTTAGCAAGAATAACATGACATCTGTGTTGATGGACAGAAGCCCAACAGAACATCACAAGTCCGAGAACATGGTACCAGCAGACTGTCAGTGAGTGGGCTTTGCCTAAATGAAGAGAGACAGAATGTATTTATTCATTTAAAATATTTTGAACCTTTCAAAATATTTTATTACCTTTCCTTCCATGGTTGTTAAGTCAATCACTGCAGTTGTTAAGTTAGTAACATGGTTACTACTGCGATGCTCTCTACCTGGGGCTGCCCCTGAAGACCACTCGGAGGCTTCAGCTGGTGCAGAATGCGGCCGCGCGGGTAGTAATGGGAGTGTCCTGACACTCTCATGTTACACCCCTCCTGCGGGACCTGCATTGGCTACCGGTTGCCCTCCGGGTGAGATTCAAGGTGCTGGTTATTACCTATAAAGCCCTACATGGCTTAGGCTCGGGGTATTTGGCGGACCATCTGCGGCCAACGACCGCTCCCCATCGCCCGGTGCGTTCTCACAGGGAGGGCCTCCTTGGGGTGCCGTCGGCCAGACAATGTCGGCTGGCGACCCCTAGGGAGCGGGCCTTCTCCGTGGGCGCACCTACCCTGTGGAATCAGCTCCTCCTGGAGCTCCGGGTGGCCCCTAACCTTCGCTCTTTCCGCCGTGACCTTAAAACATGGTTATTTCGCCTGGCTGGTTTGGACTGAAGGGGTTTTAAAGGTCTTTTTATAATCTTATTGGGTATTTTTAACATTGATTTTGCTTGTTTTTATTGTTGTGAGCCGCCCCGAGTCCTTCGGAGATAGGGCGGCATACAAGTTTAAATAATAAAATAAATAAATAAGTGAATCCAGCTTCCTCTTTGACTTTGCTTGTCAGAAGGTCCCAAAACGGGATCATGTGACACTGCAATCATCATAAATATGAATCGAGAGCCAAGCATCTGAATTTTGACCGTGGGAAGCTACAATGGTCGTAAGTGTGAACAATAGTCATAAGTCACTTTTTTCAGTGCCTTTGAAACTTTGAACGGTCACTAAATGAACTGTTCCTAAGTCGAGGACTACCTGTATTGCCCCCCCCCCCCAACAATCTGGGTCCTCATTTTACCGAACTCGAAAGGATGGAAGGATGAGTCAACCTTGAGCCGGTGAGAATTGAACTGCTGGCACTCGGTAGAATTAGCCTGCGATACTACCTTCTATCCACTGTGCCACCATGGCTACAATTTTAGGTAGTCACTACATTTAGAAATTTTAACAATTTCTAACTTCTGCCAACCTAGCAGTTCGAAAGCACGTAAAAAATGCAAGTAGAAAAATAGGGACCACCTTTGGTGGGAAGGTAACAGTGTTCCGTGCGCCTTTGGCATTTAGTCATGCCGGCCACATGATCACGGAGACGTCTTTGGACAGCGTTGGCTCTTTGGCTTTGAAACGGAGATGAGCACTGCCCCCTAGAGTCAGGAACGACTAGCACATATGTGCGAGGGGGACCTTTACCTTTACCTTTAACAATTTTAGGCTGACCCCTCTCTTTACTCCTCCCCTGGCTCTGCCAGCCCTTTTCCTACAGTTTATTGCAAGAATGCAAAAGAGGAGGTTTACCTTCTCTACTCTTTGCTGGCACCTGACACAGCACTGTGAACCCCACCAAAACATAGTAAAAGAGGCCGAAGCAGTAATGTGCAAAATGAATGACCCCTCCAGAATAAATGCTAATGTGAAGACATTCTTTTAACCGTCGACAGCTATTCACCCAGACCAAAAGGCAGACCAGGAAGGCTGACAGGAATTCGGCACCTAGAAAAACCAACAAAGACAGGGTGTAAAACACGTGTTACCTTGTCACAGGTGTGTCAAATTCAGCCGAAACAAATTGCAAGATATACAAGAAATCCTCATAGATATTATGCATGTTTTATGTTCAGAATTCTTGTTGGTGGGAAAAATAGGGGATCAGCCTCTAGATTTTTTCCATCTCAGATAAAAGACATCAAGCTCCAAATTGCTTTTGGTGACTAACAGATAAGAAGAAACTGAATAGTTCTTGATATGGGACACATTTTATCAATGGCTAGATAATAGAAACAGAACTTAGAAAGGAAGAGATATAAAGGGAGGAAATGGTACAGAAGAGAGGCGTTAAAGAAGATGATGTTAAATGTTAAGTATTAAGGATATTATAATGTTACTATATTATTAATATGATGGTAAGGACTAAATATAATGAAGTTGTAGAAATATGATTATCTAAACATAATTGTACCCAGAATGCACACTGTTTAATGGAAATTGAGTGTTACATAAATAAAACATGAAAATTAAAAACATCCAAATACAGGTAATCCTCATTTTACAACCGTACGTTTAGTGACCATTCAAATTTACAACATCACTGAAAAAAGCGACTTACGACCGTTTTTCACACTTACAACCATTACAGCATCCCCATGGTCAAGGGATCAAACTTCAGATGCACGGCAACTGACTCATATTTATGACGGTTGCAGTGTCCTGGGGTCACGGGATCACCTTTTGCGACCTTCTGACAAACTAAGTCAACGGAGAAGCCAGGTTCACTTAATAACTGTGTTGTTACTCATTTAACAAGTGCAGTGATTCACTTAACAACTGTCGCAAGAAAAGTCATAAAATGGGGCAAAATTAAGTTAACAAATGTTTCACTTAGCAACAGAAATTTTGGGCTCAATTGTGATCGTACGTTGAGGACTACTTATATGACAGACATCAATAAAAAAAAAAAAATAGAGGACCAGAAGAAGCCACTCACATGTTACACATTATAACAGGCTCACATAGTATCTTGGCTAACTGCCTGGAGAAAGAACCTGGTTCTCAAGGTCTTTCTGAATGCCAGCAGAGTCAGGGCCATCTGAATTCTTGTCAAAAGTTCCTTGCAAAAATTAAATCCAGAAAGCACACACAGGTAAACTGATTCAGCAGGATTCATAAACTTCTTTATATACTTAATACCAGATGAAGTAAATTTTACAATGCCAATATAGATTCTTCTTCAACATAGTAGCAGTTACAAGCAAAACACAAGGCAGGAGAGAACAGTTAGTTTCATTTCAGCAGTTTCTCTGCACAGACTCAGAAGCTGCAGACTAAGACATGCCCTGGCTCCAGTCCGTCTCAGCTCCCAAACAGCCCTCTTGGCTGACTTACTTGCTACGCCTATACATTGGCTGACCTTGTTACCATCTCCTATTCCACTTGATGAATATACTCTTGACAATTTTGACGAAGGTGCAGACACAGTGAAAAGAAGGTCCAAGCTCCTGTCAATTGACATTGATGAACTGATAGGACCCAGAGCGAGCCAATCTTGCTGATCTTCTTGGACAGGCAATGATAATTTGTCTGATCATGTTGGACAGGCAGAGCTGGTTTCCTAATCTTCAGGCTCTGTGCTCTGAAGGCTTTTATGGATGACCCCCAGCATCTTGAATGGGTGACCCCCAGCATCTATACAACTTGGGATGAACACCCTTGGAATGGTGTGGAAGTAGGAATGGATTTCCAGAGGAAAACTTGCAGACTACAGGAACTAGGAGCCCTACTCAAGTGACCCAAACCCTCCAAGTGCTTCAATGACCCACTAAAAGGATGCAAATGACTAGCTTTGTGTGTAAGGAATATAAATCCTTCCATTCGTCACCATCCTGTCAGAGCTTGTTGGATGAGAAGCAAAATGTCTTCAAAAGGAAAAAACCAGAAAGTCCAGTTGCCAACTTTGGGACAAACATGACCTAGATGACTGAGAATCTCTAGAGACTTTCAGCACCTTGAATGCCAACTGGAAGTCCAAGGGTAAGCAGTGCAGCTTATGTGATAGCAATGTTATGTGAATGTACTGAGGGCCCATAGCTTCTGGCTATTTCTTCAAAACCTCTCCTGGCTTTTTCAAACAGGAGTTGAGAGATTAGGAAGTTTAGATCTCTCAATTGTTTTCAGTAAAAATGTCCAACTCATTCAAAGCTGTGGGGGAGGCATCTGATCAATCCTGGTAGTCCTCAACGTACAACCATAATTGAGCCCAAAATTTCTGTCGCTAAGTGAGATATTTGTTACGTGAGTTTTGTCCCATTTTACAGTCTTTCTTGCCAGTTAGTAACATGGTTGTTAAGCGAATCTGGCTTCCTTAATAACTTTCCTTGTTAGAAAGTTGTAAAAGAAGGCCACCTGATTCCAGGACACTACAACCGTCATAAAGATGAGTCAGTTGTCAAATATCTGAATTTTGATCACTGACCACTGGAATGCTGTAAGTGTGAAAAGTGGCGATAAGTCACTTTTTTCAGTGCCATTGTAACTTCAAATGATCACTAAACAAACATTGTAAGTCCAAGGCTACCTGTATATTTTCATGTATCTCATATATTAAAATACTGTATGTCCTTCAACCTGCATTATTATTTTGAGTATAGTTATTTATCATACCTCTTTTCTACAGTTTTCTGGATCTTTCCAGATCCAGCAGCCCTATTCTTCTCTCCCTGCCCTCCGCAACTGAAGTTGGGATACGTGGAAAGGAATATATTTGAAAAAATCTGCAGTGAAAATGATTTTGTTTGTCCTCCGATTTTATGCACAGAATAAATAATTGCAGCTTTGGTAGAGAAGCTATTCTGCAAAATCTACAATATATTGGGACTGGTGGTGAAATGTAAGATTTGTTACCACCGGTTCTGTGGGCGTGGCTTGGTAGGGGTGGTGGTAATGTGACTGGGTGGGTGTGGCCAACTTTTTTTTAAAAAAACTTTTAAATCCATTTTTTCTATATTTTTTCAACCTTTTCGGCCGAAGAGGTTGTAGAAAAAATGCTTTTAAAACCCCTTGACGATCCCATCAGAGGCTTTTTTTAAATACTTTTAAAAGCATTTTTTCGGCCAAAGAGGTTGTAGAAAATATAATTTTAAAAATAATTTAAAAAGCCTCTGATGATTGCGCGGCTCAGGTGGGCATTGGGGGGGGGCAGGGATGTTTGCTACCGGTTCTCCGAACCACCTGCCGCCATCACTACTGGATCGGGCGATCCGGTTTGAACCAGGAGCATTTCACCCCTGATTGGGACCCTCTCTACCAGGGGTGAAATTCAGCAGGTTCTAACAGGTTCTGGAGAACCGGTAGCAGAAATTATGAGTCATTTGGAGAAACAGCAAAAACGACTCTGGCTGGCACCAGAGTGGGGTGGGAATGTACATTTTGCAGTATCCTTCCCCCAGGAGTGAGGAGGGAATGGGGATTTTGCAGTATCCTTCCCCCAGGAGTGAGGAGGGAATGGGGATTTTGCAGTATCCTTCCCCCAGGAGTGAGGAGGGAATGGGGATTTTGCAGTATCCTTCCCCTGCCTCGCCCACTGAGCCACACCCACAGAACCAGTAGGGAAAAATGTTGAATTTCACCCCTGCTCTCTACCAAATAATATACGTACACGTACAAGAATTCATACCATTTTCTGAGTGGTGGACGCCTCTGTCTTCCTTTGCTCCATCAAGAACGTCAAGCAAATCCCGGAGCCAGGAGGGGAATGACTGAGAGAAAAACACAGACTGCATAAACAGCAGTAGCAGGAAGCCATTCCAGGTCACAGACACAATATAAAAATGGTAGAACCACCTGCAGAAGGAACAGTTTAGGGTTAGTCTGTACATTGTGTTGCACCACAATGTGGTTGGTTTGCTTTCAGATCATCAATTAAGCAAACTGTAGTTTAACACACTAGTTTCCAATTGTTGTGACCCAGGCCCAAAGTAGGTAGTAGTCATAATTTCTGCCATTTAGCTAACTCTACAGTATAACTACATTTTTTGGCCCATACTATCATTGTTTCCCTTACCTGCTCTTCTTCCATTTTAATGCTCAATAGGTAGTTATAATTTTTTAAAATTAGTTTTTCATTTGTCCCAGTTAATATCTGATCCAGTTCTGTTAGTTCTTTATAAAAACCATACATTTTAGCATCTTTCGCATATCTTGATTGTATTTGCACATGTGGCCACCCTGCCAAATCAATCCTGTCACAAGTAAATGCCTTATTCTCTAATGTGTAAATAGTATATGAACGGGATGTCAGGGGTTAATTTATTCTTCACTTCTTAATGTATTCATACTTCACCACTCCCATATCTAGCTCCACCCATTGTATATATAAGGAGCTACACACACTCTCTTCTTTGCTTCTATCTGTGAATATTCAGTGAATATAGAATGCCTTATGTAAATAAAAGAAAATATATTTGAACTCTTAACTCTCTCATAACTTATTGAGTCTGATCCTGAAAATATTGCAACAAGCTGGTAGCAGAGGATGGTTAAATTGACTCAATAAAAACTTAAATATGTCTAAAAGAGATAGGCCCAACACCAGGGCATACAGCAAAGAAATGGAAACGGATCAAGAAATAATAGATGAGTCCACAAATGCAATTTCGAGAGAATCCGAAGAATACACAACTGAAGACGAAGAAATAATAGATGAAGATGGTGACCGAGAGGAAATTAAAATAGAAAACAACGAACTCAGGTCAGAAATATTAAAACTGTTAAAGAGCCAGAAAAACGATGAAAGCCTCATCGCGAACCTCCAAGACATGTTGAAAAACAGCGGAGCAGCGAGAGAGAAGCACATCGCCACCGAAAAGTCAAAAGACTCCAAAATAGTAAGTGATACGACTAAAGAAAAGAACGCTATAAAGAAGAAAAACGGTGATCCCGCGCAAAATTTTGAATGGCAGCCATCTTGGTTCCAACAGACCTCCAGAATGAGCGAAGCAGAGCCAATCAGAAAACTTGATTCAAAATTTCTGGCGCGAAAGGCACTACTGGATAACGAAAACGAAAAAGAAAAATCAAACACCTCAGAAGAATCAGAATCAGAAAGTGAAGGTGATTCAACAGATACTCAAATAAAGTCAGCAATGAAAACGCTTTTTGCTGCATTTGGACCATTACCAAAAAGTCAACCAGAAAACGAACGAGCAAGCCAACGTCTCAAAATCTACCCGCTCCCATCCTGACGACGAGAACACCGACGCCTGAACCAAGAGAGCCCTGCAAATACCGTCCCACACCGCAGACGATGAAAGCACCTACGCACTCAAGAGAAGAAAAAGAACAAACGCCATCGTCAGAACCCCTAAGATCGAGCCGGAGACCGATTCATCTGAGGAGGAGCTGAACGAGCGAGCCGCAACGACGAGAACCTCTCACGACGACTCCAGGATCGAAATGAGCAACGCGCATGCGCGAGACTACGCAGATGACCCGGGAAGACATGAGTTGCCGAAAGGACCCTGCAGACTCGTCGCGAGCATTCCCACGCCGTTTTGTAATTTTCACCATCTACGAGACCACGGACTACCTCCGGTTGTAAGTAATGGACCTAATAATGTCGGAAACTTGCCCAGTGACTTCCCAAAGCTGAGAATAGATGGCATTAATTTACAAGAATGGTATCAGCAGCTCCAGGTGGTCTTTATGAAAGAAAACTTATTGTTTTTCATCACTAATCCCCCAAAAGACCTTGGACTTTAAAGTTAGACTGCTTACACCATAGAGCATTTTTCTTATTAATTTCTAGTGTGTCTCCTGCCATGTATCACAGTATTAAGCAAAATCTGACTGTCTCAGAAATTATTCAATGCATGTTCAATTTGTTTCACAGTGATAGTGTAGCTACCACCACAAGAATGTCTAAAGATTTCTTTTCTTCTAGGATAAAACCAGGGGTTTCCATAAGTGAACATTTAATATCTTTAAACAAAATAAGAGCTGAGCTACATTTAAGGGGGGAGGTGATTTCAGACCAAACAATGAAAAGTGTTATCATAAACTCACTTGACCCATCATGGGATAATTATATGTCACATTTAGACACAATCAATCTTGGATATTTATCCATAGAAAGTCTATCCAATAAGTTAATAGCTGAAGACAATTCAAGGAAGAGCCGCTCTAACAATCACATTGAACATAAAGCATATAGAAAAGTGGTTTTCCAAGAAAGATATAATGAAACATTCAGATGCCACAATTGTGGATCCAGGGAACACAATAGAAGAGATTGTCCCAAAATTACAAAAGAAAGACATAGGTCAGAACACAGAAACAAATACATCCATAGACAGTCTTCCATTGATAGACATAGATATAGAAGCCCACCAAATTACAAAGAATATAGAGGGGGTAGAGATAATTCAAAGGACAGAAAATCTGGTTCACTAAATGGACTAAACAAGCAAGACAACACTAACATACAGCAAACTGAGGATAATAATTGGCTTATTGATTCTGGAGCAACCAATCATACTACTAATAATAAAAACATACTATCTTCATTTATAGAAGATAAATTTGTAATAAAGGTAGCCAACCAAGAAAAGGTCCAAGTATTAGGAAGAGGAAATGTAACCTTGCCTGGTATAGGAAAAATAGAGGGGGTATTACTGATACCTGAGATACCTCATAACATATTAAGTGCCATAAAACTAAGCAGAGATTCTGATATTAATATTGTGTTTTCAAAAGGAAAAGCAACTTTGGAGAAAAATAAAACAGATATAGGTACAGTAATGATTAAAGGAGGCCTACCTTATTTAATAACTAAAGAGAAATGGTTACACAACATTGATTCAAATATGGAAGATTGTATTGAACTAGATAATGAAAACATTAGCAACAGTGACAATGATGAATGTAAAATAGCTCATGATAACAAGGATGCACACAATGAGAAAAAACCAAAAATAGGTAAGCCAATTCATGATGAGTGTGCTCATGTCTTACATAGGAAGTTAGGACATGCCAGTTTTCCTGTAGTACAGAAAATGACTGAACACGCAGAAGGTGTCAAAATAAAAAATTGTGAAAACTATTTGGAATGCTCAGTATGTAAATCTACAAAACTAAAAACTAGTCCCAGGCCTAGAAAATCTACAAGGTCAACTAACAAGATTTTTGATTTAGTACACATGGACCTGGTTGGTCCACTGACTCCATCAATCATTTATAAAAAACGTTACTTCTTAACTATTGTGGATGACTATAGTCGCTATGGATTTGTTTACACATTAAAACACAAAGATGAAACCTTTCAAAAATTTAAAGAGTTTTACAAACGCGTAGAAACACAACACAATATCAAAATAAAACAAATAATGACAGATAGGGGATGTGAATTCATGTCTAAGGAATTCTCCCAATGGTTGAAGGACAGAGAAATGTTACATTACACATCTAGCCCATTTTCCGCGTTCCAGAACGGAATTGTAGAGAGGAAGAACTCAACATTACAAACCATGATTAGATGCACATTGGAAGATGCTGGCTTAAGCAAACAATTCTGGTCAGAAGCCCTACAATATTCCAATTACACACAAAATAGAACTTGGTCCAGCATTGTGAATAAGACACCATATGAAGTGATGTATAATAGAAAACCAAAACTAGCACACATGCACATTTTTGGAGTCACCGCAGACGTACACATACCTAAACAATTAAGAAGAAAGGGAGAAAATGTGTCTAGAAGACTTAGATTTATGGGATATGAGACAGGTACAAAAGGATACAGATTCATTGATAATAATAACAAATTTATAGTTTCCAGAACAGCTGTGTTTCATGAACAGGCCAACTGGTCTAGAATACATCTTAATGAAATATTCCCAAACAACAACACAGATACTAAATCCCAAGAGAAAAGAACTGTAGAAAAGCAAAAGGACAACAAATATAAAAACAAAACCAAAACATGGACAAACAGTCAACACAAAATAAAGACAGATACATTAACAAAAAAGGAAGCAAGATATTTGCATGACAATAATAGTAAACCCGAGAAGCCAATTAGAAACACTAGAAACCAAATGCCAAATAAATATAAAGATTATATAATGCATATGGATGGAGAAACTATGACACCTAGCACATATGAGGAAGTGTTAAAACTTCCTCCTAAAGAAAAAGAAAAGTGGGAATTAGCAATGACAAAAGAGATGGAAAGCTTACAAGGATTAAATGTATTTACACCTGCGATTGCACCAAAGGACAAAACAATTATTGGTACTAGGTGGTGGATATATAAAATTAAAAATTTAGAGGGAGGCAATACTCTATATAAGGCTAGATTAGTTGCACAAGGTTATGCACAGAAATATCCAGAGGACTATACTGACACTTACTCCCCCACAGTAAGAACTGAAAGTGTAAAAAACGGCTCTAGTTGTAGCATCAGCACTCAATCTCGATGTATTCCAGTATGACATACAGACTGCGTATTTACACGCAAAATTAGATAAGGAAATATATGTAAGGGCACCTCACAGTCAATATACAAATAAGAATGAGATTTGGTTACTAAACAAAAGTCTATATGGGCTAAAACAATCTGGTAAACGATGGTATGATTGTTTAGTAAAAGTACTAAGAACTATGGAATTCAATGCTACCACTGCTGATAATTGTTTCTTTGTTAAAAAGGGTAATGATTACATAGAATTTGTATTGATCTATGTGGACGACATTTTATATATAGGTAATCACAAAGAAAGAAGAGAAACATTTGTAACAAAGTTAAATGAACATTTCTCATTGAAATCCTTAGGTAAAGTAAATAAGTATCTTGGTGTTCAAATTAGTAAGACTAAAAGGGGATTCAAGCTTTCTCAGAAAGATAAGATCACAGAACTTTTGAACAAATGTAACCTAAATGATG